TACCCATTTCTAGCTTTTACTACAACAATATTTCTAGTTAAACATTTTAGTAATTAGTTTAAAAGTCATCTTAATGGCTACTTCTGTCCCACATGTGTTTCTATCGTGAAATAGCTGTGTTTGCAAGATTCGGTTTGAAGGGTGAAATATGTCAGTGACATATAAAACATCACTAAAAGCCTAATTTCGGCCCATCCCATCTGCCAAGCGTGGCAACTACTGGTAAAATTGCCCCCAAAATGGGCCAGGCCTACAGCAGTGGACTGTTAACAGTTGATATGGTTATAATGAGTAATATTATTAGAAAACCTGACCTAGATTATTTTCTAATCAATAAATAGATAATATTTGACATAAATATTTTAGATTTTATGTTTATACATACATACATACATATCTGTCACGCCTGTCTCCCATTAGGGTAGGCAGAAACAATGGAACGCCAAATGCTTCGATTCAAACAAACCTCTTTCGCTTCCTCCACATTCATCAATTTTGTCACACACGCTCGCCGGTTACGGGTACTTTTAATTTGGCCCTTCTTCAGCACGTCGCAGTATTTGGTCGACATACGTCCGTCTAGGGCGGCCCCTACCGACATATCCATTCATTCTTGCCCGATAAATCTCTTTCGTAATTCTTCTTTCATCCATCCTCTCGAAATGACCAAACCAAACCAAACCAACGCAACATTTTATGTTTATATTGATAATTTTTAGCCAAGCGAGACGAGACGTGACACTGTCACGTAATAACATTATAAGGAAAAACATATTATTCGTCTAAACCAGCAAGATTAAGAGGAAAGACTTGTTTTTATGTTTGTAATGAGTATAAGTAATAATAAATAGTTAAGCGAATTTTTTTTTTTACAACACAGGTGGCAAACGAGCATGTGGCTCACTTGATGGTAAGTGACTACCGCCGCCCATGATCACCCACAATTTGTTTTCGTTTTTTTTTTTTTATACAACTTAGAATGGCAAACAAGCTGACGGCCCACCTGATGGAAAATGGTAACCGTCGCCTATAGACATGAGCAGTACCACGGACATAACAGAGTATACTGTTTCGCCCATGATACCCCCCATGCGTTGCCATTCCTGAGGACTCGGGTGTTATTCCTCTGTACCCAGTAAATTATCTGCCATGTCCCACTCTTCAAATCGAAATAGCCATGCAAACACAACTGCTTCACGGTAGAAACACGAATGGGACAGAGGTTACCACTTTCCATCAGGTGGGACCGTCTGCTTTTTTGCCATTCTAAGTTGTATAAAAAAACTCATTATTAACGCTAACCTGTGACCGTAGCGTGGGTAACGGAGATGAGATAATTATAGAACACGGGCGCCCTCTGTTGTAGGTCAAGGGTAAACTGAGCCGGCTTCTAAAGGTTAAGGGTAACTAAAGGTATTAGCGTATGTGATCTAATAAGCTTTAAATTTAATAATCTTTCTTCGCTATATTTATAACTTTGTAACGACCTTTATTTCTTAGCTGCTTCCCGCGGTTTTGTATGTGTGATAAGATTAGAACGAAGTATTTATTCATAGCAGCCTTTAACTGTCCAGTGCTGAACATATACTTCTCCCATAAGGGGGGCTTGGTCAGTAGTTGCCACGCTTGGCAACCTCAGTTAGGCTTTTAGAGATGTTTTAAGAGGGACGCTGTTGCCTATCCCTTGCCCTCCTTAGCCACCTCTTACGACACCCACGGAAATGGAAGCGGTGACCCATTCTATGCCGGGACACACGGTACCCAAAAACATTGGTAAGTATTAAATTACTTTTGAAAATTGACAGATAATTGGGACGTTGCCACCCGTTTTTTTTGTAGGTCACAATCATGAATAATTAATTGTTTTAAAAATAATATACATTCCTTGTTACTCGCTAACGTAGCTTTCTATAGGTGAAAGAATTTTTAAAATGGATTGAGCACTTGTTGAGTTTATTCCTAACAAATAAACAAACAAATCTTTCCTCTTAATAATATTAATATAAAAGTATAGATTATTTTAAGAAATAACTTGATGTATATTTCTTAGTCGAGACAGCCATTTCGACTAACCTAAACAAAGGGCCTACCATGAAATGTTTTCCGAAATTTCGGAGCCAAACGAAACACAAATTTGATGTTAAAATTACATAATACATGGCGTTTGGAAATATTAAAAATGTTAAAATACTGTTCCTTTGGACTTTTATAATAGGATGTATGACGAACGAAATGTTAAACACCATTTATTGATCCGATTTTGGTATAAACAAAAACACGAAATTGAGTCCGAAATTTCGGAAATTCATTTCATGGTAGACTCGCTGTTTGAATTTATACATAGAGAGATGAAATTCGAATTTTTACCACAAAAATAAGTATAAAATATATATAATACTTGTATTAATACATCTTACCATATAATATACAGATATATAGTATATTCCACTGACCTTTCAATGCACTTGATGCACTTCTATTAATGGCGTCCAGCGAGTTGGAAAATAACATTGAATACTTAATTTGTAATTGTGTTAAAGCTTTTATACTTGTGATTGCACACTGTATATGGTATTATATGTATTATACAGCAATATATAGCTGAGTATGCAATTAGGTTTCGGCAATAAATAGTACATATATGATTATAACTAATAAAATTTTCCCGCCAAAGTTATAAGTTGTTGTTGTTATAAAATTCGTCCAAGATGGACAGGCAAAGAGCATGGCCCATACAGCCTAGTCATAAGCCCAAAATTATAAGGTATACCAGATTACATTTTTTTGATGCCACTAAATAGAGGCAAAGGAACGAGTCGATTAGGATTTATTGCTTATTAAATAATAGATTGGAAGTCAATGATCTTTTTTGTTTATATATATATATATTTTTTAAGTATTTAGCTAAGTAATAATAATTAATTCTGTAGAGAATATATTTCTTAATGGATTGAAGTAGAATTAGTAATTAAAGTATATTTTAAATAAGATTACTTATATAATGCAGAAAGTGTGAAAATAAAGAAAAATTTTGTGTTAATTGATTATATTATATTACATTTTATATATATAAAATTAAAGAAAAAAAAACTGTGATTGTTATCACAGTTTTTTTGTATCACAGTTTTACTAATTAACAAAAGGTAGGAGGTTGTTTTGCTTGTATTCTTTGAGTATATTGTAATTTTGAATTCACTTTGACAATTTATTGCGCAATGAACATGATTTATTTTCATATTTATTTTGACCTTACATTAATTTTATTACAAATTAAAAGTCGCTTTGTTATGTCTGTGCGAAATTTTAAGTTATTCATATATTATATTATGAATATAGATTATAGGGGGAAAAGGATTGTTAGCAATGGAGTTAGACAGCCCCATTGCTAGCAATATGTCTTATTAGGGCGACCTCCACATGGTTCCCCCTGGAAACTATCGTGGCTAATTCTAGCAGAATTCGTCACGATGGGCTAACTGACCTGCTTTCATCCTCATCAGTCATCTATCACTGGTGCCCCGCCAGTATATACCGATAGCGCAGACGGGGTTACCATACCATTATCACCCATTAAAAAAGAATAGATTATAACATGTACGTAATATAATCCAAGATGTAAATATTTTTCTTTGCTAACATCTATTTGGAAAAAAAAAAACATGTAGGTAGCTAACCAAGCATGTATATTTCGCAGAAACCCATAGGTGCGCGACAATAGTGCATACCGAGCGCCACAAACAAGTTTCATTACTATTTTTAAACCCAGACATTATTTCGTGCCTATTGTAACGGCCATTCATTGTACAAGCGATCGAAGCAATCACTACCTTATTGGGATGGCTGTAGGAGATGTTTCTGACGTGTATTCCGTCTCTTGGACTTTACGAAACTGTGGTTGCCTAGCAACGGAACGTAAACAATGCACTCCAATAAGAATCGTGTTTATGGATTCGCGATACAAAGTAGAAGAAGGAAAAGGGATTGTTAGTAATGGAGCTTAGTAGGTAGGTCAGGTAGACCTCCTCGTGGTTCTCTCACGAAACTATCGTGATTGATTTATTGTTGGATTCGTCACGGTAAGCTAGCTGACCTGCTTCATTCTCACTTATCATCCTTCATTGGTGCCCCGCCGGTGTATACCGATAGCGCAGCCGGGGTTACCATTCCATTATCATCCATTAAAAAAGATACAAAGTAGAGAGTCGGTAACAGAGTATAAATAATAAAAATAAATAATATAATAAAAATAAAATAAATACCAAAATTAGCTTTAATGCAATTCATTAATATTTTATATAACATAAATAAATGCTAGTTATTTATGTAACTATTTAATTTCTTACTATAATTAGGTTTTTTTTAAATATTTTCAGGTACACGTACTGTTTTATTTGGAATAGGCTGTTTTGCTGTATTGCTATGGGCTAAATAAAAAAAAAACGAGGTATTACTGTCTAACTTGGTATTGTTTTGAAATTATCTTAAAAAAAAAAACAATCGACAATGTATTACTGTAGTACATTGCCAAAAATAAATTAAAAATAATTTTGTTTTAGTGCCAAAACAAGACAAAGAAGTTTATGTTTACCTACCTACAGGTTAAAAGTAAATACACAGATACTAAAATAAATATGTATAATAAAGTTAAAAATATATATTAAAACTTTAATTAAATGAAATTTAGTTGTTGAACGAACCTTGAATGTAATCTAATTAAAATATTCTTTCAAACGTTTGAATTAGTCTCAATATTGGTAAATAATACTACATTAGACAAGATTACATATATTTTACAAAAATAAATAAATAATTTTAACTAGCACCAGATTTTGGTTGTGCTCTATCAAAGGAAGATTCTCATTTTAGAAATAATCTAGCATTAAATAAAAAAAAATAATAATATTTAAAAACCGGACTGTATTTTTAAAAGACTATTACATATTTATGTAATAACTAATGTACAAAAGTTAAAACAATATATAATCGAAAATCAAACATACCTTGTATCGTCACACCTTACTGCATAACTGGCTAACATTATAAACATAAACAATATCATTGTCACTATAAAGCACAAAATAAAAAAACTAAAAAAAAAAAACAAAAACGTTCAAACAACAAAAATAATACTGGACTAAAATACTTTTTACAAAAAAAAAAAGAAACTTAAAATACTTTTTATTCTATTCTTAACATAACTGTTATTCTTTTTTCGAATTTTTTCCCGCGAAATAATGAATTAAAGCGGCGCGCGCTGTCGCCACTACGCTCCACGTGTGTGGATATGGACATGTTAAGTACTCGAGTGTAGGTTGTAGCGTGTAGGCTAGGGGCTATGGTGTGTTTTTGTCGTTTATGCAAATCGTGACAAGTGATTATGATAAATTATTAATATTTTTTTACGCTTTGATAAGTCATCCGTTCCGCACAGAGAATTAAGTTTTTAATACTAGTATAGAGTTATTACTAACACATTATTTATTTATACATACATTTAAATAAGTATTTTTCTTATGTAATGCACATTTATTGGATGTTTGCTTTAGTCTTGATTATTGTTAGTAGTTACAGTTGTCACTTAAATTCTGAATGTTGTGCTCGCCTTTTATAGGTACTTGTATCAAATCTAATTTTGTATAATTTTTTTTAATGTATTATACATGTAATGTTTGTGTCCCTTAATAAATAATAATAAGAAAATTGTTTATTTATTTTTTACCCAACTGAGGAGGAACGAAGCGTAATATTTTCGTGCGTAGACTTTGTTTATGTATTTGTTTTTATTTGCAAATCTGTCGTCTAGAATGGCTTGATGGATTTTTTATATAGGATTTTGAAGATTAATTTTGGAGGTGTCTTTAAATTACTTTTATTATTAATAAAGTTTTATTTTTACTATTAATCCCATAAGTATATTTTGATGATACAGTGTACAGTGAACAATCTTTACAAATAAGATTATTTAGTATATTCTGGTAGATTTTAGAAACGTTTGTGTTACAGGAAATGTCTAGAATTTTTATATTATTTCTGTTAATTTTGATAAATATTTGTTTATGTTTGTCATCATTAAAAATACGGATAAGACACTCATCAAAATTACATTATTACGTCAAAAAGATAAGTAAATTATTGCGTTAATTACATCTTTTAGTCACAGTTTGTTATTAAATGTGCTGGGTCGTTACATTCCCATAAACAAAAAAAAAAGACTTATACTTTGTAATTGTTTGTTTAAAAATAGTTTGTAAAAAAAAAGTACCAAGATTTCACCAAATATGTAATAAAAATACTTTTAAATTCTCTCTTTTTTTAGAACGAAAGTGAGAAGGTTGCTAAATACAATAGTGTCCGTTTTAAACATTAGAATATTCAAAATTCGAATGTTTCATATTAGTGAAACCACACGATTTCAGACTACAAAATAGCATTGTTTTCACCGAGCAAAAGGATCAAGTTCATACGAATCGAAGGAGTAACGATTTGTTTTCTACGTTCCACGCGTGATGAATAATGTATTTATTATTTATGAGGTATTCTAACGCGATCTTTTGAATGTGGGATAGAATACGTGTTTGTTGTAATTGTAATGCTAATGCAGGTACGCGGAGGCATATATTCAGTTAGGAACCCTTTCTTTACTAAGACAATAAAATTTACATCATTTTTTTGGTATTTTCTTTATACTTACAATATTTTCATAAACCGTAAGGTCTCGTGGTCACAACAAATGTCTGAATAGGCACTATTCGTATAATAGAAAGTCGCTATTCATGTCTGTTTGTTTCTTCGTTAAATCCTGTTAAACATCTCGAAGACTTTTGATACGGATTTCACTGTTATTTAAATATTTATATGGTACATAATTAAACTTTAGTATAAGTAAATATTCACCATGTAGGCCCCGGCATAGAATGGGTCACTCCTTCCTTTCTCGTAGGTGTCGTGAGAGGCGACTAAGGGAATTTAATGGTTAAGGGATAGGCAGCAGCGTCCCTCTTAAAATATCTCTAAAGTCTGACTGCGGTTGTCAATTCACCTGCCAAGCATGGCAACTACTGGCAAAACTCCATTTATTGGAAAGGCATATGTTCAGCAGCGTTAACAAAATAAAGTTATTATTCATTCATTCGTTCTTCATTCATTCATTCATAACGACTGATATAATAATAAGAATAAAATGGATAAAGTTAAAAAAAATACCAAATTTTAAAAACTCACCCATAAAAAGCTGCAATATCACCAAGTAACATAGGCTGTATTTTATTTAATAAAAAAAAAACTTGTGAACGGAAACGGGTCTCTAATAAATGTGTGTTTGAAATTGAATGCCACAGACCACACGGACTAGGTATTAGTCACACTAGATCACTATTTATAGAATGTATCTAGGGATCTTCAAAAAGCGTGACAACATTCCTTCAGGGTCGCCAACACATACGCAATGTCCATTTTATTGTAACCTATAGGAGGTAATCGTAACCGTTAACTATCAGATGGGTCATAAGATATTTTTGCTGAGTCCTATAAAAAAACATTTCAAGTAAAGAGCAGATTTCTTTTTAAAAGGCCGGCAGCACACCTGCAATACTTCTAGAATTGCGGGTGATCATGGGCGGTGATGATGATGTGCCAACTGGCCTGCTTTTACTCTCACCTATCATCCTACATTGGTGAATGTCAGCGCGTACCGACAGCGCAGGTGGGGTTACGATCGTATAATCATCCGTTGAAAAAAATATGTGTTACCCTATGTACTAAAGACTTTTTAATGGATGATAATGGAATGGTAATGCCGTCTGCGCTAACGGTATATGCTGGCGGGGCAACAGTGAGGGATGATAGGTGAAAATGAAAAGGCAGGTCAAATAATCCATCGTGAATACACTTGGAATTCAGAAAGATGGTTTCCAGGGGGCACCACGCGGAGGACGACCAGAGAGGGTATATCAAAAGCAATGGGGCTATTAGAACTCATTGCTTACAATCCCTTTCCCCCCTGACAAGGTATATTGATAGCAATGGGACTGGTAATCCGCATTACTAACAATCCCTTTCCCCCTTAATAAACATGTTTTTTTTTATGGGTGAAAATGGTATGGTAACCCCGCCTGCGCTAACGGGATACGCTGGCGGAGCACCAGTGAAGGGTGATAGACGAGAATGAAAACAGGTCACTTCGCTCATCATGATGAATTCATCAGGAATTAACTATGATAGTTTCCAGGTGGAACCGCGAGGAGGTCGACCTGGTTGGGTATATTGCTAGCAATCATAGTCTCCATTACTAACAATCCCTTCCCCCCCCTATTAAACCTGATAATAAAGAATTATTATTATTATTATTATTATTATAAACATGGGTTATCTAATATATCATATGGAAATAAAACACGCGATCGTATTTTCTATAGATTTACAACTGGTAAGGGCGATATCGAAATGGGTAATGGCCTTTTTTTCGCCGTCTATATAATGTAGGAGTTAGTGATATTGCAGACAATTTGCTATGGATCGATGAGTTTGTTGTTGGCGTGGCGGCGAACCACACTAATGGACTTTTTATCTCGTTTAATGTATTACTTGTCTTTATGTTTACCTATAAATTGTCCCTATAAGCAGGAAAGGTATCGAATGGACCACTTATCACTGTATTATTTCTGTGGTAATAAAAATTTGCAACAATAATACCGTGAGCATTTAAAAATAAAAACAATACCTAAATAATTTGCTACTTTTTTGGACTCGTGTGCTACTTTGAACAAAAAACATTTACATGAGATTTATGCGACTGATTTATTGAATTTGAAAATTTTGTACTTGAGTCTAGGTATAAAATGTTCTTTTATAATACGTATCAATATCTATATTTAGAGCAGAGAAATATTGCAAATAGTGCAACACTATGAGTATTAATTTATTTTATTGAATTGGTGCTCCTAGATGGTTACATAGATTAATTTACCAATATCGTCAATTAAAAGCCAGTGTGGTTAAACAGTGTGTGTTTCGATAAAAAAAAAATTAAAAAGTAAATTATTGGCTCCTAGATTATAATAAGGAAGTAATTATTCACCGTACTGATAACAAATATATATTTGTTCATTTAATACCTGGTGTAACTTGATCTACGCATTATGATTTGTACTTGACGTTTTATTTTAAGAAAACAAAACTGCCACAGCTCAAGTTATACTGGACTTTACATGTGTAGTTCCTGTACTACTAAATAATACAGACCAAGACATAAGTACGGTTGTTTCGTCGGAAATTAGTTCTTATTCGGTGGACATACGGTTTGTTTTGATGGCAAACATTAGTGTGTGATATTAATTGATAAGGCTATGTGGGCCAATTGATATGAACGAGGAATTGGATATGTTTTAAAGATGCTGTTGTTTTTTTTTTATAATTATCTTTAACGTCTTAGTTTCTTTATGTTTGTTCTATATTTAAAATAAAATAATTGTAGATTGTGTTCCTGAAAGTTGGTTCATATAGAGAGGGGAGAGGGATCGTTAGTAATGGGGTTTAAAAGGCTCATTCTAAATAGCTTTTGTTACACTAATAAAAAAGATGGCGTATCAAGATAAAATATAGACTAGATTATAAGTCCCGCTTTGAAGAAGATAATTGTCAAAATTGTATTTATTTGTATGTAATTCTTGCGTTATGCTTGCACAAACATACAGAGAGACAAACGTTCTACAAAATTATCGTTTTAATTTCTATTGCTCTTATTAAGTGAGTTGTTTACAATTTTTTTTTTAATATCTCCTATGTAAAGACATCGTCTTGAATTAAAATTTTATATTAATTGTATCAATCTATTTTTTTACCAGAGGGAGACTTTGTACAAAAGTCGTTTGCTTGGACACCTCTGTCCCATTCGTGTTTCTACCGTGAAGCAGTTGTGTTTGCATGGCTGTGTTTCGGTTTGAAGGGTGGGATATGGCAGTGAATTTACAGGGTACAGAGAAATAACGCCTGAGTTCTCAGGAATGGCAACGCATGGGGGGTATCATGGGCGAAACAGTATACTCTGTTATGTTCATGGTACTGCTCGTGTCTGTAGGTGATGGTTACCACTTTGCATCAAGTGGGCCGTCAGCCCTTCTAAGTTGTATAACAAAAAAATCTATTTTTGTTCTTTTTTTTTTTATATAATATTAATGAACTCACTCATTCATACTAGCTATTAATTGTGCACTGCTGAACATAGGCACTTCCTGTTAGGAGTGTTTTGCCAGAAGTTGCTACGCTTGACAAACGGTTTTTTAATGGGTGAAAATGAAATGGTAACCCCGCTTGCGTTATCGGTGTACACTGGCGGGGCACCAGTGAGATGATTAGGTGGCAATGAAAGCAGGTCAGTTAGCCCATCGTGACGAATTCAACAAGAATTAACCACGATGGTTTCCAGGGGAAACCGTGTGGAGGTCGACCTGATAGGGTGTATTGTTAGCAATGAGACTGGTAGCCCATCGTAATATATTTATCAAAGTGATTTATTCCGTCGAAGAAAATACAAGGTATGCGAAATTTTTTTATTACCATCCGGAAGATCTTTGTAACAAGGCCTAAATTCGAGGCCTCCACGAAGGTTGTAAAACAATAAACTCTTTAAATATCATTTAATTAAAAACTTGTTTGTACTCTAGTTTATAAATGGAATGTATTTTTCTAGTCTTTTATCAATTAAGGTCAAATAGTTACCAGAGGGAGACTTTGTCTAAAGTCGAGGGGGTATCATGGGCGAAACAGTATACTCTGTTATGTCCATGGTACTGCTCATGTCTATAGGCGACGGTTAAGCTGTATAAAAAAAAAGGCCGACCTCCATATGAAAACCATCATGCTAAATTCTAGGTGTATTCGTCACGACGGGCTAACTGACCTGCCTTTTCATCCTCACCTATCCTATCATCCCTCACTGGTACCCCGCTAGTGTATACCGTTAGCGCAGGCGGGGTTACCATGTAATTTTCACCCATAAAAAAAAAGTATTTACGCGGTAAATATGTTTATATACACAACTATGTTGATCTATTAATAATATTGATAAAAAAACAATACGTTTTTTTTTGCATCAGTGCAGCGTAGTCAGTATCAAATTCTTGCAAACAAGCAAACAGCTGTCCCTTTGTTATGTCTGCCATATTTTTTGCTGTTCAGCGAATTTTCTTATCACCGCCATATTGTGAACGTTTTTGCAATCCAGACTGCTGGTGATTTTATAATCCACTATCGATGCGCCTCGGTTTTGCAAGGGTAATATAATGTTATAACTCTGTTATGTCCATGGTACTGCTCAAGTCTATAGGCGACGGTTACCACTTTCCATCAGGTGGACCGTCAGCTTGTTTGCCATTCTAAGTTGTATAAAAAAAAATGTAGAGGGGGAAAGGGATTGTTAGCAATGGAGGTTGACAGCTCCATTGTTAGCAATATGCCTTATTAGGTCGACCTCCACGTGGTTCCCCCTGGAAACCATCGTGAGTAATTCTTGTTGAATTCGTCGCGATGGGCTAACTGACCTACTTCATCCTTACCTATCATCCTTTACTGGTGCCGCCGGTGTATACCGATAGCGCGGGTGGGGTTACCATTCCATTATCATCCATTAAAAAATAAATATAATATAGATCATGTTACGTACTGTTAACGTAGCTTTTTACAGGTGAAAATTTTTTTAAATCAGTTGGTTGGTTTTTGAGTTTATCCATTACAAACAAACAAACAATATTTTTTTTCCTCTATATAATATTAGTAGCTAGTTACTAGCTGACCCGGCAAACTTCTTGCTTCCCACCACCTCTATTTTCTCTTACCGCGATAATTATCCTATCTCTTAAGCTAAAATATTTACAGTATCATTACAATCGGTTGAAGGGTTTCGGATATCGTAATCACCAGAGGGAGACTTTGTACAAAAGTCGATTGCTTGGGTACCTCTGTCCCATTCGTGTTTCTACCGTGAAGCAGTTGTGTTTGCATGGCTGTGTTTCGGTTTGAAGGGTGGGATATGGCGTGAATTTACAGGGCACAGAGGAATAACACCTGAGTCCTCAGGAATGGCAACGCATGGGGGGTATCATGGGCGTAACAGTATACTCTGTTATGTCCATGGTACTGCTCATGTCTATAGGCGACGGTTACCACTTCCCATCAGGCGGGCCGTCAGCTTGTTTGCCATTCTAAGTTGTATAAAAAAAAACTCCCGACATGTGCTGAGTAAAAGCCTTTATAGTGATTACAATTTGTTATCATTGTTAGCTTTTGTATTGTCTATGTATGTATCACAAAATATTTGTTCTTTACATACATACATACATATCTGTCACGCCTGTCTCCCATTAGGGTAGGCAGAAACAATGGAACGCCAAATGCTTCGATTCAAACATGTTCTTTCTTTCTTTATTTTCTTTCAAATTAATATTTAACAACAAAATAATAACTATTATTATTTTAACAATATATCTGCCGTTAACTGTTCCCCGCTGAACATAGGACTCCTCCATAAGGTGAACTTTGTTAATAATTCTCGCGTTTGCCAGGTGGGTTGACCACAGCGACCACTTTTTTTTTACAACACAGGGGGCAAACGAGCATGCGGCTCACCTGGTGGTAAGTGACTACCGCCGCCCAACAATCAACAAGAATATATATATTTTATTGCACTTGTTACATATAAAATAATGTATTTATAAATGTTGTGAGCAAGGGCGGACTTATCTCTGACAGAGATCTCTTCCAGTCAACCCGGTACAGTGAAAAAGCATGTCGTTAGCGGGCAGCTGAAGTGCTACAACTATTAATACATAAACAAATATACAGTTAAATAAAATATTAAAATATATAACAAAAAATTACATAAATACATACACTATAAATACATATAATAGATAGATAGATAATTTATTTACATTACTTACAGCACACAAATTACAATAAAAAAAACATACACATAATACACAGTAAAAGAGATAAAAGAATGAAAATAAAAAAGCACAAAACAAAAAACAAAAAAAAATATATATATAAACTAACAATCTCCTTTCTTTCCCTTCCTTCATGCGTGTGACATAGTAACACAAAATGGTCACAACTCAGTTACCACAACAATACCTACCTATATATATATATATATATATATATATATATATATATATATATATATATATATATATATATATATATATATATATATATATATATATATATACATATATATGTACATAAGATAATCTAATTATTTTTTTGATTAAAATATTTTTTTTGTCATTAACCAGGACACAAAGCCCAAAACGGAATATATACATCAGTTATTTATCTCGACAGACATACGCCGAATGTTTGTATATTTGTGTACACGTGGCGAGGCCAACGACCCGGCACATGCCGATTTTGTTCGGTTTTTGTATATAAAAGATTATTTTTATAAAAAAAAAAAATATATAACTCATTACTTACAGATGGTGTTCACAAGTGTACGTGCTCATTTTTTATTAAATATATCTATTTGCTGTAACGTTTTGGATGATGTATAAAGTAGAAATTATTATCTCAGTATGTTCCAATTTGTAATTATTGTTTTTTTTTTTGGATCTTGGCTTTTATTGTTTTTTTTTAATGGATGATAATTGAATGGTGACTCCGTTTGCGTTGTTCGTATACGCTGACGGGCCACCAGTGACAGATTACAGGTGAAAATGAAAGCGTGAGGGCTTATCACGAAACGTTTTCCGACATTTTGTTGCCGAATAAAACCCAAATTTTATGTTTAAATGACATAATACGTACTATTTAAAATGTTAAAGTATCATTTCTCTGGATGTGTTCTATTTCACTTCTAATATTCCCCTGATTCGTTTTTTAGCGTTTTATGTACAGACATTCGTCCTTTACAGTCTTATTATTTATATAGTTTGAAAAGTTTTAAGTAAAAAGCTAAATAATTAGAAACTTATTAAACATTTAATCTTATCACTGGAATATTACATTACAATAAATCTATTATTTATACTTTTTCTTTCTCTTAAAGATCACAATTTCTGCTCTTGACCTGGTACATATTTCTCGGGGTAATTTCTTCTGTAGTTCCATCCGAAACTCCTTTGCGTTCCCGCCATCCTGTTCAGACTGGGAGAGGAAGGTAATGAGTCACCAACCTGGATAGATGACTCATCTTGGCTCAATGATAAATCTGTAGGAGAAACAGATAAGTTTGTTGGCGTAGACAAGATATTTCTGGATGATTTGATGTCCACCTCTATAGATTTGAGGGTGCTTGGACTGCAGAGAGGGGTCTCGACTTGCTCAACTGTATTTAGATGTTCCTCGTCGATCTTGTAGGCTTCGTGTTTCTTTGAATACCTGGAAGAATGAGCTTATTTCAAATTTGTGTTGGAAGAATACTTTCTTGTTTGGTAATTAATTCAACATATTGTTAACGTAACTCCATTTCTTTTTATTTTTTAAATTTTAATCCCAACAGTGACATATCATGGATTAATTATAGAAACAGAACAGAACTTAAAAATAAAACATGCCATGCCTTCATTTTACTGAATCCGACACAGCACATCATCCGCCATTTTGTGACGACCACAAGATGGCGGTCATTTTAAAAATATTAGTTATAACATTGAGCATTGAATTATTGTATTGTCACTTGAACTAAAAGTGTATCCAAAACTTTAGTGAAATCGGTTAGAAATAACTCAGTTTGCAAGATTTAACCTAAACAAATAAACTTACATACATCGCAAGTTAATTGAAAGCTTGTAATAAAAATATAAACTTACCTCAGTACATTCTTGAACCTGTATCCCCATATGATCTCTTTGGATAGATAAGACGTTCTGCTTTGTGTAACCGTCCCCATATTCTTGGAGGAGCCAGTTAGACACACCACTATCTCGAACCTGCGTTTAGAAAGGTTATTGACTGCTATAATCTATGTTTACAAGTGTTCTACAAATACAGTAAATGTAGGTAAATAACTAGTGTTCGCAGCTGGCAGTTAATTTTCCCTTAACTTGTTTCTAGACTGGACAGTGTTGAAACCATAAACTTATTGTGAAAGAACATAAATATAGTATTACTACTGTAGTTTATATTATTACCAAGTATGGAATGTACCATTATTTTTATTGATTTCAAAAAAGGAGCAGGTTCCTAAATTCGTTTGTATTTTTTTATGTTTGTCATCTCATAACTCCGTCAGCTATAAACCGATTTGTATTTTTTTTTGTTATCTAAAAGGATATACTTACTTACAGATTAGTTCTATAGAAATTTTATCAAAATCGGTCGAGTAGTTTAGTTTTTAAATTAAAATAATTGGTTTTTCCACAATTGAAGATGGTTTTCTTTGTTATATATATATATATATATATGCAAATGATATATTATTATATGTTACACTCATGATTTTGCCACCAAGCAGTTGTCCTTGCATGGCTGTGATTCGTGTGATGACACATTCTGTTCTTCAACATTATTTCTGGAGTAGTAACATATGAAGGGTAACATACTGTGAGATTACAGGTATTCTGCAATGTCAATTCATGTCTATAAATCATTACCAGTTACTGCTTTATTAATTAATTAATTAACTGTATTTACTATTTTATAAATGGTGCAATAAAGTGTAAAATAAGTAAATAAATCTACCTGTAATCCATCATGTCCTGAGCGGAGAAGTCATAGAGAGGACTCTCAGCGTCGATGACGTGAACCACCGTGATCGGCCACAGCAGGAAGGCATTCGCTTGTTTCAATTTCAATTGGTGGATGTAATTCTGCACGAGTTCCCCTTCTAATGTTCTGGTGGAAAAAAATATTTTAATGGAATTTACATCTTTAATTTAGGATATTAAGATTACATTAAAATATTATGCACATGTGTATCAAACTTCAATATTTTTTTTTTATACAGCTTAGAATGGCAAACAAGCTGACGGTCCACCTGATGGCAAGTGGTAACCGTCGCCTAGAGACGTGAGCAGTACCATGGACATAACAGAGTATACTGTTTCGCCCATGATACCCCCCATGCATTACCATTCCTGAGGACTCAGGTGTTATTCCTCTGTACCCTGTAAATTCACGCCATATCCCACCTTTCAAACCGAAACACAGCCATGCGAACACAACTGCTTTACGGTTGAAACACGAATGGGACAGAGGTCCCCAAGCAATCGACTTTTGTACAAAGTCTCCCTCTGGTAATTCGTTTCAATATTTAAGTCTAGTGTCTGAGTGTCTAGTGTCAGTGTGTCTAGCATCTGAGTGTCTCGAGACGGTGACTGAGTGTCTAGTGTCCGAGTGTCTAGTGTCTCTGTGTCTGAGTGTCTAGTGTCTAGTGTCTGTGTGTCGGAGTAACTAGTGTCTAGTGTCTGTGTGTCGGAGTAACTAGTGTCTAGTGTCTAGTGTCTAGTGTCTAGTGTCTAGTGTCTAGTGTCTAGTGTCTAGTGTCTAGTGTCTAGTGTCTAGTGTCTAGTGTCTAGTGTCTGTGTGTCGGAGTAACTAGTGTCTAGTGTCTAGTGTCTAGTGTCTAGTGTCTAGTGTCTAGTGTCTAGTGTCTAGTGTCTAGTGTCTAGTGTCTAGTGTCTAGTGTCTAGTGTCTAGTGTCTAGTGTCTAGTGTCTAGTGGCTAGTGTCTAGTGTCTAGTGTGTCTAGTGTCTAGTGTCTAGTGTCTAGTGTCTAGTGTCTAGTGTTTAGTGTCTAGTGTCTAGTGTCTAAGTGTCTAGTGTCTGAGTGTCTAGTGTCTAGTGTCTAGTGTCTAATGTCTAGTGTCTAGTGTCTGAGTGTCTAGTGTCTGAGTCTCTAATGCATGTGTGTCTGAGTGTCTAGTGTCCTAGTGTCTAGTGTCTGAGTGTCTGAGTGTCTAGTGTATGAGTGTCTAGTGTCTAAGTGTCTAGTGTCTGAGTGTCTAGTGTCTGAGTGTCTAGTGTCAGTGTCTGAGTGTCTGAGTGTCTAGTGTCTGAGTGTCTAGTGTCTGAGTGTCTAGTGTCTAGTGTCTGATTGTCTAGTGTCAGTGTTTCTATTGTCTGAGTGTCTAGTGTCCGAGTGTCTAATGTCTGAGTGTCTAGTGTCTGAGTGTTTAGTGTCTGAGTGTCTAGTGTCTAAGTGTCTAGTGTCTAGTGTCAGAGTGTCTAATGTCAGTGTTTCTAGTGCCTGAGTGTCTAGTGTCTGATTGTCTAGTATCTGAGTGTCTGAGTGTCTAGTGTCTGAGTGTCTGAGTGTCTAGTGTCTGAGTGTCTAGTGTCTAGTGTCTGAGTGTCTAGTGTCTGAGTGTCTGAGTGTCTAGTGTCTGAGTGTCTAGTGTCTGAGTGTCTAGTGCATGTGTGTCTGAGTGTCTAGTGTCTAGTGTCTAGTGTCTGAGTGTCAAGTGTCCTAGTGTCTAGTGTCTGAGTGTCTAGTGTATGTGTGTCTGAGTGTCTTGTGTCTGTGTGTCTGAGTGTCTAGTGTCTGAAAGTCTAGTGTCTGAGTGTCTAGTGTCAGTGTGTCTAGCGTCTGCGTGTCTCGAGACGGTGACTGAGTGTATAGTGTCTCTGTGTCTGAGTGTCTCGAGACTGTGTCTGAGTGTCTAGTGTCTGAGGTTGTACTTCTGTTTACTGCAAAATTGTATTTTAAACATCTGAGTACACACCTGATAGGTTTCAAAATGTAAGCAGTTATGGTGCTGTTGATGATGTGCAAGTTTTGAAGGTCCCACACCCGGAACTGTAGGCACAGCTGTCCATCCCGGAGGCATACCTGTGAGGCATAACAAGTAACACTTATTGCTTGCTGCTTGATAGAAAATAGTTTATTTAAACCCGCAATCCAATTAATATAAAGTTTGTAAGGATGTTATAACATTTAGTTGTTTTTTTTTTTATACAACTTAGAATGGCAAACAAACTGACGGTCCACCAGATGGAAAATGGTAAACGTCGCCTATAGACATAACAGAGTATACAGTTTCGTCCATGACACCCCCCATGCGTTGCCATTCCTGAGGACTCAGGTGTTATTCCTCTGTACCCTGTAAATTCACGCCATACCCCACCCTTCAAACCGAAACACAGCCATGCAAACACAACTGCTTCACGGTAAAAACACAAATGGGACAGAGGTACCCAAGCATTAAATTTTTGTACAAAGTCTCCCTCTGGTGAGATGATGATGATGATGATGGTAAACGTACAATGAGTACGTTTAATTAATTTAATCTAAATTGCTAACCGTCGCTTTTTTGCTGAATCCAACGGAGGACATGTGTCGGTTGGGTCGTATCAGTTTTGTGAACAGCAAACTGGATAAACCCCCCGAGAGTGCTGTCCCAGCCACGATCTGGAGAAGAAATGCAAGTAATATGAAATTTTATATTATTTTTTTCTGAAAAAATGTTTTATTAACTTCTGATGCATTATTATTGACAATCTTGCTATGGTTTTCAATAGTATTTGTTTGTTTAATTTTGTTTATATTTATTTAATTTTGTTTATATTTGTTTAATTTTGTTTATATTTGTTTAAGTTTGTTTATATTTGTTTAATTTTGTTTAATTTTAGTATTGTCCAATTTTGTGTTTTGTTTACTTGTATTTTATTTTGTGCAAATTCTAGTGGCTACCGAATTACTATTTAAGTATATAATTATGTATTATTTTAGCTGTTTGTTTGCCTTCAATAAATAAATAAATAAAATTTAACATGGACCTTCGTTGGGCGGCTGGAATTATTGTTGATCAGCTTATCTAATATAATAATAAGCTTATTAATCTCTCGAATTAACAGTCAGATTTGAATTTCTTTTTTTGTATCTGATAGCTCATTTCTTAAGGCTTTTTATTCATCAACAAGACATATCCACGGTCGAGGCCGCGGGATACAACTAATGTGTTTATAATGATGCCCATCTAGTAATTGGCAATACTTGTTACCTCTTACCTCTAATACCATGATGATGATAGCTTCAGGACATTCCTCGTTGGGGTACCTGGCGCCGTAGCCGATCGTCATCTGTAAATATTAATGGCCTGCTTAAATTTTGCATTAGAGTTTATTGTGGCTTTTTTTTTTTAGTAGATAACAGCATTTCGAAGAATCTATCCAAATATATATCTGTAAAATACAGATACTGCAGTCAAGCGTTACCAACTGTTATTGGTCAATGGAAATTATAAATTATGAATGATAATGAAATGGTAACCCCGCCTGCGCTAACGGGGCACCAGTGAGGGATGATAGGTGAGGATGAAAAGACAGGCCAGTTAGCCCATCGTGATAAATAGACTTAGAATTCAGCACGATGGTTTCCAGGGAGAACCGCGAGGAGGTCGACCTGGTTGGGTATATTACTAGCAATGGGATTCTCAGTCTCCATTACTAACAATCCCCTTGCCCTCTTCTCATCGTGGTTAATTCTAGTTGAATTCATCAGGATAAGCTAAGTGACTTGCTTCGCTTAATTCTCACCTATCCCCCACTGGTGCCTCGCCAGCGTATACCGATAGCTCAGACAAAGTTACCATTGCGTTATCTCCATTAAAAAAAACTTTCAGATTTATATTATTAGTAAGGACTTTTCACCTGCGTTTCCACCGACATCATGAGGAGGCCAGCGAACGACGATGTACCAGTAATACAATGCTCCTTCCCATCACCAATATCATCTTGGTAGGAGGACGAGACCGCATACCAGATAGCAGCGAAGAAGAGCCAGAACACAAAGTGGGCACACACCATGCCCAGTAAGAGGAATCGCCACTTGCTGTTGATCTGTGAAATAGACGATTTCTTAAATAAGGCCCAACCTTAGTTCATATAGATAGAGCATCGAGCCTCAAAAACGGACCAACTTTTTGTCAGCTAAATGTCCAATTAGCTGTCTCGTCTTTTCGTCAGTGTTCTATATACTTACGCATATAATGTATCTTGACATATCTATATTTAATTATTTAACAAATAAAATAAGTTTTTGAGTATTAAAAAGATGCAAAAATTATAAAACAAAATAAATATAGAAGTTATAAAGGAAACACTTGCGGCGTCTGTAAATAAATATTGTACATATTCATCTCATAGCCACTTGTCAACATCATTACTTTCTTTTCCATCAAGTAGGTTAATTAAATTGTACATAGATATTTCGCCTCTTTCTTTCCTTCGGACTGGTCGTACAGACATGACAGCGACGTTTACTTCTTACATTCATTTCTGCTGTCATTCTCTCCATCTCGATCGCTCGCCTCTTACACTCCTAATTTCCGTTTTTATATATTATTTTCTACATATACCTTTGTATATAATATTTACCTTCTGTACATAATATATGTGAATAATCAAAGTTAGTTGTTATACTTATTTCCCTCCAAACTACACACTCATAACTATTTATAAGCAAAATTGTATGAAAAAGTTGTCCCGCTTTTCTCGAAGCATTTGTATGGAGACACTCTATCTATATAATCCAAGGTCCAAAATCCAACTACCTTTTAGAGATGACAGGGTTTGCTGATTCTAGAGCTCTTACTTTGTCACCTCACGGATAATTAGTTAGTAAATCTGTGACAGACTTCTGTTTATTAGTTCTGGAATACATACCACAGTGTTAACGATATCTCGCATGTATTTGATGGACTTAGAAGGTATATTACTTCTCACTGGTACGTTTTCTTCGCCATTTTTGAGGACCACTCGCCTTGAACGCATCTTCCTGCCGTGTCTAAGTCTGGAATATTAATATTAGGTTCTAAGGTTTTTTTTTTTTGATAGGTGAAAATGGAATGGAACGATTGCGCTAACGGTATACGCTGGCGGAGCACCAGTGAAGGGTGATAGATGAGAATGAAAACAGGCCAGTTAGCCCATCTTGATGAATTTATCAGGAATTAACCATGATAGTTCCCAGGGGGAACCGCGTGGAGGTCGACCCGATTAGGTATATTGCTAGCAATGGAGGATTGGTTCAAAGCTTTAATAGCAGTTAATCTTTTCTCAACCTCAAGATATACATTTAAACTGCTAGACTTATTTTTTAATGGGACGATAATGGAATGGTAACCTCGCCTGCGCTGTCGGTATATGTCAGCGGGACACCAGTGAGGGGTAATAGACGATTACGAAAACAGATCAGGTAGTCCATCTTGACGAATTCCACAAGAATTAACTACAATGGTTAGACTTTGGGGGGAAAGGGATTGCTAGTAATAGAGACTAAAAATCCCATTGCTAGCAATATACCCAACCAGGTCATACTCCTCGTGGTTTCCCCTGGAAACTATTATGGTTAATTCCTGATGAATTTATCATGATGGGCTAACTGGCCTGTTTTCATTCTCATCGATTACCCTTCACTGGTGCTCCGGCAGCATATCCCGTTAGCGCAGGTGGGGTTATTATTCCATTTTCATCCACCAAAAAAAAAAAACTTCAATGGTCGAAGGTTGGTCAGCAGCGTCTCTTTAAGCAGTCCCATCAAAACATCACCAAAGCTTAACTCCGGTTGTTTACCTGTTTACCAAGCGTGGCAAATACTGATAAAACCCCCAAGGTGGAGGCCTATATTCAGCAGTGGACAGTAAACGATTGTCTTCATCATAATCATGTATTCTGTGCTTAAACCAGTTAGTAAATGTACTTTTTTATACCATTTGGATGGTAAACAAGCATACATTGCACCTGATGATAAATGATTATCGTAACCTATGAAAGCTTGTAATACCAGGTGCATTACGCGCGCTTTGCCGACCCTGAAGAAACCTTTTTTATCTCTTTTTTGAAGAACCTCATGCTGCAGTCTTTTGGGAAAACCTCGACAGGGATCCATGATTTGAGTGTTCGTGAAAGGGAACAACTGTGAAACCGCGCTGTACTCATTTAGGCTGTAGGACATGAGGGTGAACTCCCTGTCGATGGCGAGCCGTACGATGGTAGAAGGTGGACGCAGGCATCATATTGAACAATTCCTCCGAGCACAATCCATTGTACAAGCGGTAGAACACGCAGAGTGATTTAAAAACTAAATCACTGAACTGATTCTGTTAAAATTTCTGTACAACCAATTTGTAAGTACGTTCTTTCATATAAAGGGAGAATTATACAAATTGGTTCACAACTGACGGAGTTATGGCAACAAACATTAAAAAAGTACAACCAAATTGTAAGCGTTCTTCTTTTTAAAGTCGGTTAAAAATAGACGTTCGTTATTGAAAGGTCGAACGATTGCTTGAAAGGTCGAAGGTCCGAATTTGTTGTCAAAAACTTTTTTTTATACTACTTAGAATGGCAAACAAGCTGACGGCCCACCTGATGGAAAGTGGTAACCGTCGCCTATAGATATGAACAGTACCATGGACATAACAGAGTATACTGTTTCACCCATGATACCCCCCATGCATTGCCATTCCTGAGGACTCAGGTGTTATTCCTCTGTACTGTGTAAATTCACTGCCATATACCACCCTTCAAACCGAAACACAGCCATGCAAACACAACTGCTTCACGGCAGAAACACGAATGGGACAGAGGTACTCAAACAATCGACTTTTGTACAAAGTCTCCCTCTGGTAAAATAAAAAATGATATTAAAAAAGCAAATTTCTATATCATATATATGTCCGTCTCCTTTCCGGTCTTTAGTTCTAGTCATCTGTTTTGTCCCAAGCCGTCAGTTTTGTCTGTCCACTAGGAGAGTAGACAGAACTATTATTCTACGCATCCGATTATTTCCAATAAGTTTATAAAATTTTATCAAACTATTTACTATCCTATCTAAATTTATGATAAAAATTACATGTTGAATTGAGTCATGAAAGAATTTGGTCAAATAAAATGTATGTTTATCATTAAAGTACTACTAACTTTGCCTGCGTGTATTTTTTTCAATGGATAATAATGGAATGGTAACCCCGCCTGCGCTAACGGTATACACTAGCGGGGCACAAATGAGGGACGATAGGTGAGAATGAAGAGGCAGGTCAGTTAGCCCATCGTGACGAATACACCTGGAATTCAGCACGATGGCTTCCAGGGAGGACCACGTGGAAGTCGACCTGACAGGGTTTTAATATTAATTATTTGTTAGTAATGAGACTGGTAAGCCGCATTACTAACAATCCCTTCCCCCCCGCACGCGTGTATTGGAATTATGCCTATACTATATGGTCAATTAATGTATCAAATTTTATTCAATCCCGTTCACAAATTCTCACAAATTCCATATTTATTATGCTGTTAACAGTTCACTGCTAACAGCCTACCCCATAAGGAAAGTTTTGCCAGTAGTTGCCACGCTTGGCAGGCGGGTTTTTTTTTATGGGTGCAAATGGTATGGTAACCCCGCCTGCGCTAACGGGATACGCTGGCGGAACACCAGTGAAGGGTGATAGATGAGAATGAAAACAGGCCAGTCAGCCCATCATGATGGATTCATCACGAATTAACTATGATAGTTTCCAGGGAGAACCGCGAGGAAGTCGACTTGGTTGGGTATATTGCTAGCAATGGGATTCTCAGTCTCCATTATTAACTCCTTTCCCCCCTGGCAGGCGGATTGGCCACAATTAGGTTTTTAGACATGTTTTAAGAGAGACGCTGCTGCCAATTCCTCGTCCTCCCTTAGTCGCCTCTTACGACACCAACGGGAAAGGAAGGGGTAGCCCATTCTATGCCGAGACTACACATATTTATTAGCGGATAGTTAATTGTTATTTACATTAATTTACGCGTTACGCATTTTTTGTAAACAGAGACAAATCACGACCCGCTTTTATCGTAGTAACAGGTACTTCCTATATTTTTCAAGACGTTTGTATATTCGTAGGTTACTTACTTTGTCATAACATTACGTTTTCAAACGACTTCAAAAAGATGAAAGTTCTCAATTCGGTTGCAGTTTTTTTTTTATACAACTTAGACCTTAACCTACGGCCCACCTGATGGAAGGTGGTAACCGTCGCCTATAGTCATGAGCAGTACCGTGGACATTACAGAGTATACTGTTTCGTCCATGATACCCACAATGCGTTGCCATTCTTGAGGACTTTAGTGTTATTCCTCTGTACCCAGTAAATTCACACCATATCCCATCCTTCAAATCGAAACACAGCCATGCCACACACAACTGCTTCACGGTAGAAACGCGGATAGGACAGAGATACCCAAGCAATCGACTTTTGTACAAAGTCTGTTTGTTACCTTATGTTTGTTACCTCATAACTCAGTCAATTGTAAACCGATTTGGAAAATTCTTTTTTTATCTGAAAGGATATACTTACAGATTTTATCAAAATCGGTACAGTAGTTTAGTTCTGAAATAAATATAACTGTTCTTGCCACAATTGAAGACGGTTTATTTGTTAAACACAATTTTAGTAATTTTTGTATATCTTGGGTTGTCAAGTTGATAGTACGAAATTATTCGGGGGAAAGGGATAGTTAGTAATGGAGACTGAGAATCCCATTGCTAGCAATATACCCAACCTGGTCGACCTCCTCGCGGTTCCCCTGGAAACTATCATGGTTAATTCCTTATGAATTCATCATGATGGGCTAACTGGCCTGTTTTCATTCTCATCAATCACCCTTCACTGGTGCTCCACCAGCGTATCCCGTTAGCGCAGGCGGGGTTACCATACCATTTTCACCCATAAAAAAAAGTACGAAATTATTATTGATTTACATATACTATATATTCCTGATAGTTTTAATTTATTAACTTTATTTGTGACTGTGGTACTTATAGCTAAAGTCTACCTGTTATTGGAAGAACGGCGCTTAGCATAACTACTTTAAAGGATTGTACATTTAATCCGATCTCACCTGTGAGTTCCTTTTTTCCTTCTTCTCGTATACGGTGTCGAATACCCGTGAGCTGAAGTCGCAACAGTCTCGCTTTCATCATAAACGCTTTCCAATACATTAATATCTTCATACAATTCCGTCGGTGCACTTGGTGGGCTGTTAGAACTCGCTACCGCTTGTGTAGAAGCGTTAGAAATATGTCTAGTGCCTTCAGATTTAGAGCTGTCGTGTTCCACATCTATAGTTAATGTCAGTCCTGTATAGTTTTGTTCATCTTCACTGGAGCACTGAGAAGTATCTGCAGCCGCTTCGTATGCACTTAACGGTATACTTTCATTGTTGTCAACATTGCTCACGTACGTTGGAAAGTAAATCTCTTTGCCTTCCACGTAAGTTTGTGAGATGCGGTAGTGTTTCTTCAACTCTTCGTTGGTGTAGACGTTCGTGTTCACGATGGATGGTATCTCTATAGAGGATCGGCCCGAGTTGTTGCCAATTGCTGCTGAGTAGCTGAGCGATCTTTCCAATGCGCGCGCACGACTGCCTCGCCTCTCCGGTTCCAAGTCAAAGTTCATCTTGATTTAGCGATTGTTTTAATAATTCTAAATTCGAACACAGAATAGAAATCACAAGAATTAACAATTCAAATTTTTGCTGTCAACATTCGAATGTGAAGTATTTTGAAATTGATGCAGAAAGGAGACTACACTTAGTCGACGAGAGAGCAATAAGAAATCATTACGTCGCCCAGTAACGATTTGTTTACATTTTGTTATCAATTGAGAACAATTAACTGTACAAGTTCACGTTTAAAATTACAAAACACCTTCGCAGCGCGTATATTTCTAAGTTTCTGAACAATAAGTTATTATTATCAACAAGAAAAGATAAGAGGCACACCTTTATCCGTGCGAGATAACGATATATTTGTTATATGTTTTGATCAATGATGACCTAGAAAGAGACAATTATGGAATGTAAACATTTTGGTAATGCTTCTGTTTATTCAAGTGTAACTTCAAGACGTAATATCCAGGTGTGGAACCAGCAGTTCCCGATGTAGCAATTAAAAAAATAATATTTACCGCCATTTTTAACAGTTATGGTAGTTGTCTTCATTTTTGCCACTGGCAACTTGTTGACTTGATATCAGGTTCGAATCTCGGTAGGGGCAATATAGGAAATGTATTTTTTTAAATTCACTGTGTGGTTTGGGTGAATAATGGCCTTGTAAATGTGATGGGAGGAAGATGAAAAAGAGAATTGTTGGTAATGGAATCGAGCAGTCTTATACCCTATATTTATTTATTTATTATTTATTTATTTAACTCTATTTTTTGCACCATAAATAAAAATATACAATGACAAGTGAATAATTCAAATGAAATACAGTAACATAAATACAGATTGAAATATACACATAAAGGTACAAAAGGCGGTCTTATCGCTAGGGCGATCTCTTACAGACAACCTTTGGTTAAAGGAGAACAAATTATTTAAACTTTAATGCACAATAAAACTCTAAGTACATTTGGCGGACTTAACACCGACCGGTGTTCTCTACTAGTGAACTTTAAAGCAAACCGAGAGAGACAGAGAGACAGACAGAGAGAGAGAGTAGGCGGTGCGTTATTGAATACTGAGGAAAAATAAAGCAATACTTGACATATCCATATAATATAAACATATAATTGGACTAATATATACATATAATAAATACATACATAAATAAATATATAAAATATTACTATATAAGCAATTAACTGTAATAGAAGAGCAAATAACTAACTATGCTTAAACAGAGTAAGTAGCAAGATTAAGTTTAAAGGGAAAGTGATTTTTCTATGAAATACGTGCTCAATTTATGTTTAAAAGCTAGTTTGCTTAGAGTAGATCTGTATGTTGGCCTCTCGGTCCTCTATGGGAACCATCGTGGTGACTTCCTGTTAAATACGTCAAGATAAATACGTATATCAAAGATATCCATTTTAATTATTAGAAACGTCCATTAGATGTATATTTTATATATATGTAGCATACATATAAAATTATATATTTTATTTATTTTGTAAAAACACGCAGCCAAGCGTAAATATTTTATATATATATATATATGTAATACGGTCGGTCGCGCACGCAGCTTGTTTGATGTACCTATGCGCGCGCAGGACGCGCAGGCGCTCGGCGACTACGTGTTGCGCGCGCAGGCCGCGCATGCGTATATGCGAAGAAATTTGTTGTTGGCGCCACGGCATACATATCGTCTTAATATTATACTTTTTTTTATATATTTTCTATTGTTTTCCTTCTGTACTTGTATTTATACTTTTAAGAATTATTCTATTAATAAACGTTTACATTATACATTCCACAAATACATTCTCTTAACATCATTCGCTTTATATATATATTCTTCATTGCACTAAAACATACAGTAACAACAATAAGTTAATAACAATGTTAGCTAACATAAAGGCGAACTTATCTCTAAAAAAGATTTTTGTCAACCTAACACAGTGGCATAGGAAGTAGTGAGTGTGTTACAGATATGTATAACCTTATTGTGGTAGCGCCTGCTAGAAAAGAAATAGGCGCATTCTGAATTCAATTAGGTAATACACTTAATTCAGGGGTCTAGTGGACGAGACTGTGGCCTTTGGTTTCGTTTTGGCATCCCTCAAATAATTTAAATATGTTAACAGTGTTTAGTATGAAAAGTGTAGAGGAAGAGGAAGAGGAAGTATTTAGAAAAGTATTTTGTATTGCCAAGAGTTCGGTTGGGAATAACATTATAAACAAGAAAAATAAAAATATTACATATATTTCTAGTATTCGTAATTACATCTTCATCATATTTTTATTAATGGATGATAATAGAATGGTTACGCTGCCTGCGGTGTCGGTATACACTGGCTGGGTATTAGTAGGAGGTGATAATGAAGCAGGTTAGCTGGCCTATCGTGATGAATTCAACAATAAATCATCCAGATGGTTTCCAGGTCGACCTGATAGGGTATATTACTGTACATCACTGTGTAATCTGCGATACCCACGATGCAGTTTATGACAATAGGCGACAGTTACCACTTTCCATCAAGTAGATCGTTATCTTGTTTGCCATTCCACATTGTATAAAAATATATTTAGTCAATCAAATAATAACTCTTTAAAGAATATAACTTTATTTTTAACATTACATTAGATTCTCTATTAAAATTACATAATAAATTATTTACAAAGAAAATTTCACTATTACATTATTTTATTATAGAGAAATAACAGTTATTGAATTAACTAAAACTTTATTACATTGTCGTAAAAAAGTAATTTATAGATATAAAGGCTACATAGCAGACACAGCATTTTCAATAACAAACATGTTTATATTAAAATAACCGCTCTAATAGTAGTAAAAATTATTTGTAGACTTGTAGAGCGCTTGTAGAGAATATAACCCTGGACATGCTCACATTAATTTCATTATTTCAGCCATTATCTGTCTGCTGGACACAGGCCCACGCAGTCATTATACAGAGCATATTAGAATCTAACGCAAGCTCACCGCTGCTGTTCGGATTCATTTATTTTATTACCGGTATTTTCCGAACCGAAAAGTTTCGGAAATATAAATGGTGCCAGCAGATTGGAAATCACGATCTTTGTAGTCTACAAGTTCGGGTTATATAAACTTTAGCCCACGGTACTTTCAACTATTTTCAAGTTAAGAGATTTTTATTAAATGCTAAAAGTTCTGGGCGAATAGAAGCTGCGTCTGAACATTCGTCTTCATGATTTATTGGATTTTCTTTTAAAGGACGAGGTCCTCTCCAGCTGGAAGGTGGAGATCCGGTCGCTGAAGCTGCTCGGAGAGCTGGCTCGATGATCTGGCTCAGCTTTCCCTTGGGATATGCTGGAATAGGTGAAGATGTAATTATGATCTTGTTATTCTAGTAATATGAGTCCTTAATTTCCTAACAACGGACACGGCCATCGACCTTATTATATAATAAAATACACAGTGGCAAACAAGCATACAGCCCATCTGATGGTAAACGATCACTGTAGCCTATGGACGCCTGCAACACTAGAGGTGTTACGTGCGCGTTGCCGACCCTGAAGAAACCTTAATATACCCTTTTCATACACAATAATTTGGGGTCGACATAATGTGATTTTACCGTAGTCCCGGCACAGAATGGGCCACCCCAACTTTTTCTGTGGATGTCGTAAAAGGCGATTAAGGGAAACAAATGATCAAACCATGACTGCTAATCGTGGCAACTACTAACAAAACTCCTAATAGGAGGAGGCCTTTGTCCAGCAGTGGACAGTTAACGCTGATATGATGATGATCACGATGATAATATGATTTTATTCATATTGCCCAAAGTTTTGGTCTTTGTTCTTACATCCGGTCGTCAGCTTGTTATTAACCCTTGGGAATGCATTTGTTGGAGATATCTGTCTCCTGTAGGGGATATTGGGAGTGAGTAAAGGGAGTTGGTAAAAAAGGAACGATGGATTTGTGGGGAAAAGAGAAAAGGGACAATGTAGTAGTGGAGACGGCACTGGTCAAAATCTGCAGCGGCTTGAGAGGCCGGGGTTATATATCTGTTCATAGTTTTATATAAATTTGGATATTGAGTATAAATTAGGCAATAGAAGCACCAATTTTTCATATTATATTAGTCGGTAACTATCCACTGATGAACATAACCCTCCCCTATAATAAATCATTAGGGTTTTGCCAGTAGTTGCCACACTTGGCAGGTGGATGTGGTAATATTTTAAAAGGGACGCTGTTACCCATCCCACAACTACAGATAATATAATACCCTCGACTATTAAGTTCCCTTAGTCACCTCTTACGACATCTACAGGAAAGGAAGAGGTGGCCCTATGGCGAAACTATATAGCAATAGATACAATAATAGTTTTTGGTAATTCATTTCACAGTTATGTACACAGTCTAATTTATGTGAGTATTAACTATATTGTGAATATAGAAGTAACTAAGTAGTAACAAGCTTGTGTATTGGGTCTAGTTGCCCAAGATGTTTTTGCCATGAAGATCAGCAACCAGTTAAGCCTAGGCTAGTTTGATCTTTTATATCACAATGGTAAGTAATGCTTAAGTAATATAAATATATTCTTGTTTGCTATTATCATCGAATAAATGAAATAAGTTAAAATCTTGTTTATTAACATCATTAGATCAGCCTTTAACTGTCCACTGCTGAACATAAGCCTTCCCCTAGGAGGTTTCACCAGTAGTTACCACGCTTGGTTGACGGATTGGCAACCGTAGTCAGGCTTTAAAGCTATTTTAAGAGGGACGCTGCTGTCCATTCCTCGCCCTATTTAGATGTCTCTTACGACACTCGCAAGAAAGGAAGAGGTAGCCAATTCTATGCCGGGATCACACGGCTCAAAAATCTTGTTAAATAATAAAATTTTTAAAATTTACCTATCTAGCTGGCGGGCACTGCAATATGGTGTCTCCACGGGTTCCGTACTGTTCAATTTGCTGTGGTCTATCACGTATTTCAGTTTGCGATTATCATATCTGAAATAAAAAGAATGGCTTTGCAATAGAATAAGAAAGCTAGCTCGTCCGTTGCTCAGAAGATTTGTGTGGAGACAGTGCTTACAAAATACCCATATTTGAAGCAATTGAAAAAGATCAGATCCAAAGGGCTAAGGTATTATTTATTCCTATTACTATTATAATAAAATTGTAACTAAATCATGTCAGTATTTAAGAAAAATTAGTATGAGGGATCTTACTAAGAAGACAAAACAATAATCTTTAGAAACTATCTATAGTCCAATAAATAAAAAATGCAAATTCTTACCTCACGACGGGTAGAAACCGATGTCCCCACAGTAGCTCTTTCGGAAGGTACGATGTTTGACTCTGAGTGAACGTGCCCATCGAAGCCGAGGCGCCTTTTAGACTAAGGGTAATTTCGTAACTGAAATAATTTCAAAAAAAGATCTGGCAAATAATCATGTAGCTCGTTTGATGGCAAATAATTACCTTACCAATAGAAGCTAACACATGTGTATTTTTAAACTCCTTCTTCGAATGCTACATTAATCTCCAGGAAAATGTTTAGATTCTTGAGAGATCAAAATATTTCTCCATCGGGTTTAGAAGAACTTAGACTCCTGCTATTTTTTTGGTATCAGAAATAAATATTCATTATTTCATAGTCACCGTGAAAGATGATATGGTTGGAATGGGAGTGGATGCGGAAATGACTGTATATAAAGAAAAATTAAATATGTTTTTTTTTACAACACAAGGGGCAAACTATTATGCGGCTCACCTGATAGTAAGTGACTACCGCCGCCCATGATCACCCACAACACCAGCGGCATTGCAGGTGTGCTGCCGGCTTTTTCAAAAGGAATATACTCTTTTCTTGAAGGTTATGTTGTCGTATCGATTCGGAAATACTGCTGCTGGAAGTTGATTCCAAAGAATCAAATAGATAATTGCGATAAGGGTAGGAAGACGCTAATGATTTCATAGTCCCTTTTTACTTTTTTAAAATCAATGGTTTTATCTATTTGCCTCAAGGATTCTTAAATTTTATGGTTAAACTGAGAATACACTTAGCTGTGTAGTTAGCATAGAATTGACTACTCCTTACTTTACGGGAATGGATACCCATGGCGGTGTCGTAAGAGGCGAGTAAGGAAATTTAAAAGACGAGGGATGGGCAGCAACATTCCTTTTAAAACATTAGAATATATCTGCGGTTGCCTATCCGCCTGCCAAGCGTGGCAACTACTGGCAAAACTCCCTACTAAGAGGAGGTCTATGTTCTACAGTGGACTGTGATGATACTTAGTCTGGTATTGTTTTAAGGTCATATTTAAATTTTTTAATATTTTGGTTTACATACTTGTTATTGGCGATCTGGTCTGGAGAGAGCCCATACAGAGGGCTTTCACAGTTGATCACGTGGACCAATGTGACCGGCCACAGCAGGAACTGACGTTGTTGGATGGGCAGGGTCTGGGCGTAGAACCGTATCGTCTCACCTTCCTTTGTTCTGAGGATGGTCCATTATGATAAATTACTTTACGATGTCTCTTTTATAGGTGTAATAAATGTCGTAGCATGTGTGCTCATAGATTAATGACTAATAGAGAAGGTTGTAAAGCTTCTACTAATACAATACTAGACAAGGCTAAACTATTTTGATTAAAACGAATCATCAAAACCGATTCACAATTAGCGAACATATCGCGTATACACACAAAAATACAGTTGAGGGTCTACCAGAGGGAGACTTTGTACAAAAGTCGATTGCTTGGGTACCTCTGTCCCATTCGTGTTTTAACCGTGAAGCAGTTGTGTTTGCATGGCTGTGTTTCGGTTTGAAGGGTGGGATATGGCGTGAATTTACTGGGTACAGAGGAATAACACCTGAGTCCTCAGGAATGGCAACGCATGGGGAGTATCATGGGCGAAACAGTATACTCTGTTATTGATAGTTGAAATTAGAAACTTTTCTTTGAAGTTAGTTTAAATACCTGTAGGTGTTGATGAAGTGGGCAGTGAATTCGGAGCTGATGATGTGGTCGTAGTTGAGGTCCCAGGCTCTCATCATTAGGCACAGTTGACCGTCGCGCATGCTGATCTGTAATTTAATGTATATTTATTAACAAAATCAACTCTTTTAAAGACAAGCTATGAGATTTGTTGCCGATCCCAAGTTCACAGGCGGTATCGAGCTCTTAAGTTTAAGGCGAGACTTTGCCTACCTTTGTGTGTTCTACCGCTTGTATAACGGATTGTGTTCTGAGGAATTGTTTGAAATGATGCCCACAGCCACCTTTTATCTTCGCACTGCTCGCCATCGACAGAGAATTCATCCTCACACGCTTAAATCTAAATGGTCACGTACAGTACGGTTCCAGAGAAATTTTCTCCCACGAACGCTCAGGCTGTGGAATGAGCTCCCTGCCGAGGTTTCCCCTAGAGACTACAGTATGGGGTTCTTCAAAAATGGTATATATTAAGGTTTCTTCAGGGTCGGCAACGCGCACGTGACACCCCTAGTGTTGCAGGCATCCATAGGCTACAGTGAGCGTTTACTATCAGACGGGATGTATGTTTGTTTGAGACTTTTGCGGTATAAACAAAATTAAACTACGCTACTTACAACAGCTTTCTTACTGAAACCAACGCCATCTCGTGACAGTTTCTCTGGTCTTGTGATTTTAGCGTAAACAACGCATGTTAGGACTCCGGACAACCCTGTACCTAGTATAAGCTGAAACAAAAAAGTGAAATAATCTTAATATGAAAAAAAAAACATTATATTGTTTGGTCACACTAATCTCTAGAATTTTACAACCGATTTCAATGATACTTTCTAAATTATTGTGTGTATAAACACAAAAAATAACATAGTTATAACAGAAAATATAGTAATATTATATATAAGAAGTGTCTCATATTATACAAAAGGAACTGTCTCAGCTGATGCTGCAAGTGTTCCAATGCAGTGTGTAGAGTACAGCTGCACAGCGCTGCTTTATAGCCAGTCCCTCTCTTAACAGAGTACAACAAACAAACAAACAAACAAACAATAGAGGAAATAATTATAGAAATTTTGAACATGGATATAAGAGCTTGTAATACGATAATTTGTTACCTGTATTATGAATAGAATTATTGATTCGGGACATTCTTCGTCTATGGCGCGATCACCGAAGCCAATTGTGGTCTGAAAAATAAAAATATAATGTGATAAACTTCAAGTAAGTCAATATGTAATAGTTGCAACCTAATGGCTTTGTTGCAGTCGCATTTATTATTGGATCACGCTGCGTGCACATGTTGTGGCAAGTTTACCTGATCCAATACATTAATGTACTTGCATGTTATAATTTAAGTTTGTATTTGTAAACTTCTGTTATGTGCGCCTAATAAATAAAATAAAATAAAATAAAATATGTTATGTTTAGAAATTGTAAATATTTTTTTAATGTAAGAAAATTGCATTAGATATTAAGCTTAAGGTAAAAATTTAAGTATTAAAAATATGTGTCTATTTTAAGGAATTTACGAATAACGGAATCGTTTTTAGGTTCTTTACATACAAAGGGAGACTTTGTACAAAAGTCGATTGCTTGGGTACCTCTGTCCCGTTCGTGTTTCAATCGTGAAGCAGTTGTGTTTGCATGATTGTGTTTCGATTTGAAGGGTGGGATATGGCGTGAATTTACTGGGTACAGAGGAATAACACCTGAGTCCTCAGGAATGGCAATGCATGGGGGTATCATGGGCGAAACAGTATACTCTGTTATGTCCATGGTACTGCTCATGTCTATAGACGACGGTTACCACTTTCCATCAGGTGGGCCGTCAGCTTGTTTGCCATTCTAAGTTGTATATAAAACAAAAAATCTTTATTGCACTGGAACAAAAGATACAGCGATTAGTTTAACAACTTGTTAGCAAGGGTGGGCTTATTTCTAAAAGAGATCTCTTCCAGCCAATCCAGTGCAGTTAGAGAGATAATAATTAGCTGGTAATCTAGTGCAGGTATATGTATATATGTATGTATATATCATATTTTATCTTATCCTGTTAATATTATGAATGCGATAGTTTGTAAGGATTTGCCCATACAGACACGCTTAAATCTAAATTGTCACATACGGTGCCGTTTCAAAGGAATATTCCGCCACGAACGCTCAAGCTGTGAAATGAGCTGCTTGCCGAAGCCTAGAGACTAAGTATTTGACCCTAAGTGTTAGAGACTTGGATGGAGGCTCGAGCCCAGACTCTTTAAAAAGAATACTAATAAATATGTTTTATTAATTTCACTGCTGGTTCCTTCAGTGTTATCTGCATTACTATTAATATTATTGTAATAAACTTGTATACGCATTCGTGACACCTGGTTAAAGTTTGTTAGATTTACAAAATGATTGAGGAAGATAATATATATATATATATATATATATATATATATATATATATGCTCTGTTTTAAAAGCTCACTACACAACATTTTGCTCCAAAATAAATCTAATAAATATGTTTTATTAATTTCACTGCTGAATAACATATTTTTATTACAATTTTGTACCTCGTTCTACAGAGGAAACTAAAGGCGCCGATCCAGTGTTATCGCCAGTTTTTAGAACTACCCACATTACTATTAATATTATTGTAATAATTACTTGTATACGCCATTCATGTAGTTCAGTTTGCCTAGTTTAAATAAAAATACATTTTATGGTAGTTTTTACTGGTTAAAGTTTGTTAGATTTACAAAATGATTGAGGAAGATAATGTAACATCGGAAGACATTGAGTTTGATACTACTGATACTTCGCTTACAGAAAATGATGCTTCAGCATCTTCTATGGTGTCGAAAAAGCCGCGTATTTGTTGGAAATGGCGTCATTTTAAAAAACACAAATAGAAATACAAATTGTTATGCAAGGTATGCCGTCATATATTTTCTATTAAAACATCGCACTCCATTTTGCAAAGGCATTAATCACGTTATGGCGATGTTGTTTATACAGAGTGAACAAAACTAAAAGGCATCATCTGGGTCCTTATTAAAGCATAAAAATCAACAAGTGAACATAAATGACCTTTAGATAAAGTTTATTCTATATGGCCAGCATTCTTGCCGAAGAAAGCCAGAATTCTTTCTTGGGAGAAGGTAGAAGCATTGGTAGATGCATGATTAAAAATCGAATTATCATTCATTATATAATAAAATTGTCTTACTTTCTATCTGTTGTATATCAGTAATTCAATGTGTCAGAGCTTTTCTAGAACCACCCTCACTGTTATAACTTTTTTATGGAAAAAGCTATTATTATGTAGGGTACTAACGCATAACCTATCATCAGTTGCAATACGCCATTCACAATAAAAAAACATGATTAATTTGTGTTATTCCTTATTTGATACTATCCTTTTATTTCATTTTATACATACTTACCACAATTAAATAAAAATATTTCATTTTAATATTATCAGGTATATAAATAAAGCTCGAGCTTCGACTCGAACCCTTTATTTAAGACTTTTGAGCCTTCAAGACTCGAGCCTTTAAGACTTGCGAGCCCTCAGAGCTCGAGCTTTGAAGACTCAGTAGCTTCGACTCGGAGCTCGAGTTTCCGCCTCGGAGCTCATTTTTCACAACACTAGCTACAGTGGCCGTTTATCATCAGACAGGCTGCATGCTTATTTCCCAATTTCGTGGTATAAAAAAAAGATTTGCAAATAGATGGATGTTTATTATTCTTTCACGTAAAAACTATTGAACGGATTTGAATAAACATTAGGTTTTATCGTAACTTAGCACATAGGTTACTTTACGTAATGGTAAAACACACGGGCGAAGCTGCAGGATATAACTAGTAACACTAACTATTAAAGTCCGATTTCAATTAACCAAATCGCAGTTTAGGTAAATCAAAAATAAAACTAGAACACTTCCTCGTTAAAAGAGTTTTGCAATTGCTCAGTACAATTGTTCAATCTACAGCGGCTTCCTTCTTTGTGGAATTAGGAGTGAATTGACCAGTGATAGTCGACCGCTATGTCGATAGATTGGCGATTATGTAATTTGGTGCGATTCTGATGCAATTTGCACTTGCAAGTGAACATTTCAGTTTGCTTTAACGATATATGTTTTTATTTAAGAGGTTATATTAATCTACAAACTGAATTCGCAATGTGTTTGTCGCATAGCTCGAAGAATCGATAACCGATGGGGAAGAAAGGTTCTTAAGTGGCGACCGCGTATGCGCAAACGCAGTTTACAGCGTAGTGGTATGCGTATGTCGGCATGGCATCTTCTTCGTCTTTACTTATAGGCGGCTGTGTGGAAGGCACCTCTCCTCTCTTTAAAGTCTCATAAATATCATCAAAGCCTAACTGCGTGGGGGGAAAGGGATTGTTAGAAATGGTTTGGAACGGCCCCATTGCTGATAATACACCCTATAAGATCGACCTTCACGTGGTTCCCCTGGAAACCATCGTGGTTAATTCTCGTCGAATTTTTTACGATGGGCCGACTGAGCTGTCTTCATCCTTATTTCTATCTAATTTAAAAAAAAAAAGTCTAACTGCGTTTACATTTCAGTTACATTAAAAAAAAGCCTGACAGCCTGCCAAGCGTGGCAACTACTGGCAACTAATGGCAGTGGACAGTTAACGGCTGATATAGCATTTTACGTTGCAGTGTTATTTAATTCCTTAGCTACAATACGGTTTGTGATCCTTCACTACAACAATATTCTATTATGGGATACAGTCGTTTCTACCCACGTATGTTTAAAATTGTGGTACAATACATAAGGAGGTAGCGATTTAATTTTTAAGCGACTTTCAAATTAAGGGTGTTCTTAATTTTGTCTATTTGTTTTTTTTATATGAATTACGAGCTATTTTGGCAAATTCTGACATGATTTTGCTTCTTAGTTCTAAAAATATTTTGTTACTTTATATCATGGAATATAATCTATTTTCATACACTATTTTACAACATAAGATCGATAAAGATAGACTACTACATATATACGAGGGATACAACTAAGAGATCTAGCTGTATCTCGCAGATTCGCCTGGGATTATATTGTGCTATTGAATAACGTATCACCTTCCTTAAGAAACGAGTTACCAAAGGCAAAAAAGATTTTTTCAAATTCGGCTGCTGCGTTAACATTCACTCTGGTAAATGTTGACTACCTGTCAGATTTGACATAATACGCTAATCTTTGATTAGCGTGTTCGAACAAGCAAACTGCTTTTTTTATGTAATTTGTTTATTTATTTATTTATATTTATTAGCTTGCCACATGGTACAAAATAGTTATTATAATAAATAAGCATATAAAATACGTGACACCTCGTAGGGGCATTGCAATTTATGAGAGAAAATCATCCACCTTTAATGACAGTTGAAACCATACCTACATATATCGTATTATGCTTTATTTTTTAGTTATTCATTTTGTTAGTACATTTTAAATTTTGATACAACTACGTAAATATGATATATAATTGTAATATTATTATAAAGTTAACATTTTAATTTATTTAATTGTAAATTTTTTTAAACTTATTGTGAATTTGCATATAAAAATATGTTATACATATCTGTATAAAAAGAATTATCTACATAAAGAAAAATTAATATGTGTAAATGTATACTCTTACAAATTTTTTAGTATAACAGAATTTTATTTTATTTTAATAGATAATATAAACAGGAAGTCAAGAGAATAATTGGAAAATCGCTAACCTCTTGTACCTCACACTCCTTTTTAATGTGAATGACATTTCACAATACAAAGCAATGTAGTTACAGCCATTATATGATCAGTACAGGCACTTTGGTTATATTTAGACGTGAATTAAGACAAACGTTTCGGTGTAACGAACGTCTTTTATATCAAGGCTTGACTTATTTAAATTTGGACTTGTATTTTTTATTTTTTCTCTCTCTTTTTGCGAATGTCTTATTGGTTTTATTGGGTAGATTTTGTACCTAGCGGTGGGATACTAAATGTTTCTTTTTTATGCAATTTAGAAAGGCAAACAAGCTGACGGCTAATCCGGTGGAAAGTGGTAACCGTCGCCCATAGACATGAGCAGTACCATGGACATAACAGAGTATACTCTTTCGTCAATGATACCCCCCCTCCCCCCTATGCGTTGCCATTCCTGAGGACTCAGGTGTTATTCCTCTGTATCCTGTAAATTCACTGCCATATCCCACCTTTCAAACCGAAACACAGGCATGCAAACACAACTGCTTCACGGTTGAAACACGAATGGGACAGAGGTGCACAAGCAAACGAATTTTGTACAAAGTCTTCCTCTGGTCTCTTTCTAATAATATTGTTGTCAGACTTCATAAGTGGCAATTGGCTGGCTACATAGCTTGAGTAATCAATAATCCACGGGTAAATTCAATCGTTTTTGAAAGCTGAAAGGTGATCCCGTGCTGACAAGAGCAGTATGGGGCAACTAGTGGTAAATTTTTTTAACAGATGGTAATGGAATTGTAACCCCGCCTGTACCAGAGATAATAGGTGAGAATGAAAACAGATCAGAGGATCCATAGTGATACATTTAACAAGAATTACCCATGATGGTTTCCAGGAGGAACCGTGTGAGTTTGACGTGATAGGGCATATTGCTAGCAATGTAGCTTTTAGACTTCCATTACTAACAATACCTTCTCCTCACTCCTCACGAGTTGAGGTGATCATCTTAAAAGTGTTGCAGAGGTTTTCCCAAGAGACTACAGCATGGGGTTCTTCAAAAGGGATGTAAAGAGGTTTCTTCAGGATCGGCAATGCGCGCGTAGTACCTTTGGTATTGCAGGTGTTTAGACTACGGTAACCACTTACTATCAGGTGGGCCGTATGCTTGTTTGCCACCTCAGTGGTATAAAAAAAAGTAACTTGGATGCAAATGCTGCGAAATATGCGGGAGACTTATGTTTATTAATAGACGACGGATTGGTTGGGCATGATGGTGATGCATTCCTCACCTGAGCTTCAACAGATGCTAAGAATATTGTAACAAAATCATTTCCCCCCGTGATGCAGGTGCGTTTGGGTGGGTTCGGCTCGAAGTCGTAGTGGGCCAACGCGGTTATATACCAGAAGACCGCAAACAGCAGCCACATTGCAAAATGGACGACCACTGTACCGATGACTATCCACCGCCATCTTAGGTTAATCTGAAATAATAAATGATATCTCAATACTAAAAGGCCGGCAGCACACCTGTAGTGCCTCTGGTGATGTCGGTGATCATGGGCGGCGGTAGTCACTTACCATCAAGTGAGCCGCATGCTCTTTGTGTTATAACTCTGTACAAAGTCTCCCTCTTTTACCAGAGGGAGACTTTGTAGAAAAGTCGGCTGCTACTGAAGTACCCAAGTAATCAGGTGCCGTCAGCTTGTTTGCCATTCTGAGCTGTATAAAAAAAAAGATGAAACTTATAATTAGAAATATATGGGGTCGAACTTCTCATAAATGCTGACGTTTCATATTTTTGAGATAAAGATAAAGAAATATTAAGAAAAAAATATAAGGTTTTGTCACTTATACTAAAAACTAGCGGCCCGTCCCGGCGTCGCACGGGTGGACATTTTTACATTTTAAAAAGTGACCATTAAGGCTGCACACGCAACGGAAGCTTAAAAATGGAGTAACTTCTCCCGTTTTCCCAACATTTCCCTTCACTGTTCTGCTCCTATTGATCGTAGCGTGCTGAAAAGTATATTATAACCTGCCCAGAAGTATGAAGAATAATTGTACCAAGTTTCGTTAAAATCCGTGGAGTAGTTTTTGTTTCTATAACGAACATACAGGCAGACAGACAAAAATTTTGTTAATTGCATTTTTGGCATCAGTATCGATCACTAATCACCCGCTGATAGTTATTTTGGAACTATATTTCATGTACAGAATTGACCTTTTTACAGATTTATTATAAGTATAGATGGAGAAATTGGTTTTTAACGCCTATTAGGATTGCATTCTTACCAAAGTATGGAATGTGTCATTCAGTAAGCGAATCCTCTCGAATGGAACATTGGATATGAGGGCCACATTCTCCATTCCACATTTGGAGACGAGCCGCTTGGGATAGTCCGCGGCGTATCCTCGGTACGGTGACGGTTTTTTCAGTTTCCTAGAATTTACAGAGAACATAATTAGTTGAAATAACAACTAATGAATTCTTATTACGGTGGACCAGTTGATTTGACTTCGTCCTCGCATGTTATCTCTCACTAGTGCCCTACCAGTGTATACTGTTGCCGTAAACGTTGACCATGATATCGACATCTTTGGTAATTCTTTAGTGCAGTTTACTAGGCTTATTAATAATATGGATTGGTAGTTAGGTCTTCTCTAATTGTATAATTGTTGGTTAGTGTACATTGACGCTTATCTGTGAGAGCTGTATACACCTTTAATTGATGTGTTCCTATGGCCTTAAGCTTGGTAGTGAGGAGTGAGATTTTTTGTTCAAACTTAGATTTAAGCATTTTTTATAATAGTAGTTTTTCTCTTTTACTTACTAATAACATTGCATATTGTCTGCTTAATTATTGTGAGCATATTGTTGGTATGTCTTTTATAAATAAATAAATAAATACCGACAGCGCAGGTGAGGTTACCGTTTCATTTCATCCGTTTATTTTAAGAACACTAAATGGAAAACAAACTAGCTGATACCTGATTGGATGTAGTAACTATTGAGTCAGGGGGGAAAGGGATTGTTAGTAATGGAGACTGAGAATCCCATTGCTAGAAATATACCCAACCAGGTAGACCTCCTCGTAGTTCCCCCTGGAAACTATCATGGTTAATTCCTGATGAATTCATCGTGATGGACTAACTGGCCTGTTTTCATCCTCAACTATCACCCTTCACTGGTGCTTCGCCAGCGTATCCCGTTAGCGCAGGCGGGGTTACCGTACCATTTTCATCCACCAAAAAAAAACTATTGAGTCATCATCGTTATCGTCATTTCAGCCATTATCCGTCCACTACTGGACATAAGCCTCCCCCATAAACTGCCAACTGCCATAAGGAACGGTCCAAAGCCACCTGCATCCGTTAAGTCCCTGCAATGCATTTTAGGTCGTCACCCCATCTAGTGAGGGGTCGTCCTACACTGCGTTTGCTTGTACGAGGTCGCCACTCAAGAAACTTTCTTCCCCATCGGCATTCGGTTCTTCGAGCTATGTGACCAGCCTATTGCCACTTCAGCTTGCTTACTTTTCGGGCTATTAAATATGACCGTTGATTAAATTTACTATAATCTTTTGAGTAAGAGATTATTAATTATATTAATAATTATGTTGTGAGTTTGTAACGAGGTTTGTTATTCAACAAAATGTTTATTATTTAGTTAAGCTAAGTAAGGGAACAGATTTAAAAAAAAAATATTAACGGATAAAGGCTATGGTAGAATAGCAGAGGCGTAACTGCCACTTTTGAGCTATAATCTTTCTTGCTTCATTTTATTAAAAAGATAAATATATTATTATTTTTTATTATACAGCTGGACTCCTATTTTATGTCTTAGTTCTATCCTAGATTAGCAAATTAACAAATTTTTTTTAGGAACTATATTCAACTTTTAAATTTAATAAAGAAAATCAATAATTTAAAAACCAATCAATTTAAACATCCATTTTTTTAATAATGGATTATTTTTCGTGCATTTCATTGTGCAGTAGCACGTTGAGAATAATTTTTAAATTTGACTGTTTCTCGTTCATTTTATTTTATTTTGATTTAGGTATCGTAAAAGGTAAGTAGGACTTTCTATTCTGTTTTGAAAAAAAAATCTAAGCATGTAGATATGGTATGAGGACATTAACAAAATTTCCTTTTATTAACAGTGCGTTTGATCACAAAAACAAATTTAGTTTGATACTTGATCGTGAAATTTGTTTACTGTCTTTAAATGCTTGTCATTTCCTTATCTATATTAAGGTCATCTCTAATCTTTATGACTAGTCGTAGTGAAGCTAATTATAAATTGATCATTACCTGTTCAGCGTTGGCTTCGTTTTGTCCTTCGACACCTCTTTAATTTGACTGAATGCCACTTCATTGGCCTGTTTATTCAGACTTGAGTTGCTTTGTGTAATGATTATCTTCGGTAATTGCTGTGAGAGCCTTCTGAGTCTTTCGGACTTTACATCACCAGGCAACGACGTCGAACTTCCCGATATCTCATTTTCTATTTTGAAATGTATTTTTGATCTATCTACTGCTTCGTTTTTCGTTTCGTATATGTGTTTATTTGATTCTTTGATCGTCTCATATCCGGGATCTATATCATTCGCGATTTCAGTTTGATCATTGCTAATTGTTTGGTTATTATGTTTACTTATAGTAGCATATAGTGGTTCACGACGATTATTTTCTATATATTCATAATCACTTTTGTTTCTAGGTAATTTATTTGTTACTTTCACAACAGATTCGCCTTTTAGTTCCACAATGCAATCATAATCGATCTCTTCTTCATTACTACTTGTTTCTGAATTTGGTTCCTCTTTAATAACATCCGTTATAATTTCATGTCGATAGTCTATTCCGTTATCACCGCCTTCATTTTCCACTGTTACTGGTTGGTTTTCATCGGGTTCTTCGGCTTCATATTTGTTCAATAATTGAACTCTTTCTCCGTTTACCGTCTCGTTCACTTTAGAAAGATATCCCAAACATTCATCGTACAACAGATTTAATTGTTCAAATTCTATATTTTTGTCATTGTCTTCGTCCATTTTGAATGTATTTATTTATACTTATTAAACATATGTTGAATCATCAAAATTATCATTCACATATTAAACTATTTGAATTATTTCTCACTTGAACACTTCACTAACAAAACATTTCACAATGCGATCACATGGATGAGTTTTAATCGACTTGTTCACAAATTTTCCCGGCCAGTGTTTCGTAATTGCTCATTCCACATAGTTGCTGGTGTTATCAGATGTTTGTATGTGTTATCTCGTTATCAGTGCTAATTGCGCGGCCTGAGAGCGGGCACTAAGCTTGAGATGAATTGCTGGCCTTGTCGTTGGATTGAGTGGGTGATTCTGCAATCTGTTCTAACTTACCTGTTTAGAAAAATTTGTATGGGGTGAAAACTCATAATTCGCTGCTTGATGAATGAATTGATTTGATAAATGAATAGAAATCCTCATGTTGTAAGGGATTTCTATTCATTGTACTAATTTCATTTACATATTTCATTTCGATTATTCAAACTCAAAATTAAAAAGGTAGAAAGGGGAGTAATGAGATTCAACAGACTCATTGCTAGCTGTATATCTGATCAGGTCGACCTCCATGCTGTTTCCCCTGTGAATGTGAGAAAGACTCTGTTTTCCGCGCTTAGCCTCTTATTTGGGCCGTTGTGCGTTTCCCCTGCTGTGCTGTTTCCCCTGGATACCACTATGGTTAATTCTTGTCGAATTCGTCATGGTGGGCCAACTGACTTACATTGTATCCTCACGTATATATATCTCAGTGGTGATACATGACGATGCAACTGCTATACCGCTAGCGTAGGTGGAATTACCATTCCATTTTCAGCCATTAAAAAAACAAGCAAATGGACTTAAAATATATTTTTTTATGTAACTTAGAATTGCAAACAAGCTGGCAGCCTACCTGATGGAAAGTGGTAACCATCGCCTATAGACATGAGCAGTACCATGGACATAACAGTGTATACTGTTTTGCTCATGATACCCTCCATGCGTTGCCATTCCTGAGGACTCGGGTGTTATTCCTCTGTACCCTGTAAATTCACTGCCATATCCCACCCTTCCAACCGAAACACAGCCATGCAAACACAACTACTTCACGGTAGAAACACGACAGAGACTGGGACAGAGGTGTCCAAGCAAACGACTTTTATACAAAGTCTCCCTCTGGTACTGTTTACTTGTTTGTTTTTCATTATACATATAAATATAAATTGATTGTAATTACAGTCACTGTACTTATGTAAATGTAAAATTACCTTGTACATAATAATTTGTATGTATGTATGTATGTATGTATATATGTTTGTATATGATAATATTTATATATTAGTGCGCCATCTACTCTTTGTCTTTTTCTCAATGTCCTCTACTCAAAGGTTGTCTGGAAGAGATTGCTTAGCGATAAGGCCGCCTTTTGTATCACTTCTCATTAATATTTACTGTATTTGTTATCTCTCTTTTTACTTGATGCAATAAAGTGTAAATAAATAAAATAATTAGAAAAATGTAACTGTTGACTTTCTTACGAATTGTTCTCAAGTGACAACAATATTACGAACCGCTGCGTTCGGAGAGAATGATAAAAAATTGACAATTTAGAAGAGCTTGTCTAAGATAAGTCTATTTGAATAAATACCAAATATCAAACTCTTTATATTTACTCCTCTCCATCCAAAGGTAGGTAGGAAGAGATCGCTTTTAGCGATAAGGTCGCCCATTGTTTTCTCACTGTGATTATTTCTTGTAATTGTTTATATTTGTAATAAGTTTACTATTGTAATCTTTTGGAGGAAACAATAAAGAGTATCTATCTATCTATCTATCTATCATTTCTATTCTCTTTAATATATTTTTGCCATTGACAACTTGTTGCAGAATACGCCATCTGCCGGAATAGGTAGTTATTTGCGTTTGAAATTCGCGTTGTTATCTTAAGGGGGATATGCATCGAGCCAACTTTAAAATTGTACTACTTGGTGTCCGCAACTTTGTTCGCGTGTTTTATAAATCATTTTATGGTTTTTTTATTTTGAACGCCATCTATTGTCAAATAAAGTTACTTGTATATTCGGTTGTAATATGTTTTTTTATGCAACAATCGGCCCACTTGATGGAAAGTGGTAACCGTCGTCTATAGACATGAGCAGTACCGTGGACATAACAGAGTATACTGTTTCGCCCATGATACCCCCATGCGTTGCCATTCCTGAGGACTCAGGTGCTTTTTTCATAGACATAATAACCTATTTGCATTGTATGAATGTTTGCCCTTTGTGAACTTTGCTTGTGTTAATCTAAATAATTTAATATATATATATATATATATATATATATATATATATATATATATATATATATATATATATATATATATCCGTGGACGTAATCGGTTCAATTCGGTTCGTTGTTGGATTTTTAATTATTAACATTCTTTTATCTTTTGTATTTAGACAATTTACATATTTTACACTGCATGTGTAAATGTACTATAGACTTACACATACGTACCTATTTTTTTTTTGATGGGTGAAAATGCTATGGTGATTCCGTCCGCGCTAACGGGATACGCTGGCGGAGCACCAGTGAGGGTGATAGATGAGAATGAAAACAGGCCAGTTAGCCCATCATGATGAATTCATCAGGAATTAACCATGATAGTTTCCAGGGAGAACCGCGAGGAGGTCGACCTGGTTGGGTATATTGCTAGCAATGGGATTCTCAGTCTCCATTACTAACAATCCCTTTCCCCTCACATACGTACCTATTAGGGAAGTTAAAGTAGAAGTGAAGTCGTGAAATTCACATGAAAATGCTACTATTTTTATGTGAATATCACGGCTTAAATGACTAATACTTAAAGCAAATATCTTCGTATTTATCACGTCCTTGAGCTATGTTTCGTGATGCAGTGTGGTAACGGTCACCTATACATATGAAAAGCTGTACGTTTTCCAAAAAATAAATAAATAAATAAAAAAAAAGTACCATGAATATTATAAAATACTCATGTCCATGCTACGAGTGACGACCTCAAATGCATTGCAGGGAGTCAGTGGATGCAGGTGGTTCAGGACCGTTCCTTATGGCTGTCTACGGAGGAGGCTTATTTTTTTTTATACAACTTAGAATGGCAAACAAGCTGACGGCCCACCTGATAGAAAGTAGTAACCGTCGCCTATAGACATGAGCAGTACCATGGACATAACATACTATACTGTTTCGCCCATGATACCCCCCATGCGTTGCCATTCCTGAGGACTCAGGTGTTATTCCTCTGTACCCAGTAAATTCACGCCATATCCCACCCTTCAAACCGAAACACAGCCATGCAAACACAACTGCTTCACGGTTGAAACACGAATGGAACAGAGGTACCCAAGCAATTGACTTTTGTACAAAGTCTCCCTTATGTCCACTAGTGGACGGATAATGGCTGAAATGATGCTATGCTATTTCTTAAATATTGTCAATTTTGAGAACTAGGTGTCTTTTTTAGTGAACGGTAATGGAATAGAAACTTCGCCTGCGCTATCGGTATAAACTGGCGGGGCACCAGTGAGAGATGATAGGTGAGGATGAAGCAGGTCAGTTAATCTATCGTGATGAAATCACAAAAACAATCAGGAATCAACCGCAACAGTTTCTAGGGGAAACCATGTAGAGGTCGGTCGATGATACAGCTGCTTGGCACTAGAAACACAAGTAGGACGGATGTAAAAGGAATTTTTGGATAAAGTATCTATACTGTTATTATTAATAAAGAAAATTTTCCGAAAATTTTGAATTACAAAAAAAACTTCTATTTGTTAACGAACAATTTTATTTTAGGCCTTTATATTACAACAAGTTGAAATAAATAAAGATGTGTTTATTCTAAACAAAAAAAAAAAAAACATATTTTAAATTGACCACAGCTAACATTTTTGGCAAGAACTATTATTATTTAGGTATTAATTTAATAGTAATATAATAATTACTAATATTACAACTACAGTAAAAAAAAAAAAAATTGGAATATTTGATTAAATTAAATACTGAACAACATTCAGTATTTGGTCACAAATGAATACTATTTAATTATTTATTATATTTGCCAAAACATTCTTATTAAAATATATATAATACTTACATGTTTATAATTTGTAAATGTTCACCCTTTATAAATAGAAGAAAAGAGAGAAGAAAATTTTGAATGTTTCTTAGTAAGTCACTTCATATACTAATCTACCACGAGTTTGTTCTAAACTTTTACATCGAACGAAAGATGAAATTGTTCAAGTTACGAAAGAATCCCTATCGATATAGTATAACTGTACCTATAATAAATAATAATTCACTACGTGAAGAAAGGTATTTAAATAAATACCAACACTCATTGTAAAGCAAAAAAGTGTTTTTTTAACCGCATTAAAAAAGTTAATTTTTAATGCGATTTAATTTTTTTTTTTATTGTTGTGACTCTTAATAGCGAATTAAAATTATTATATTGACTACAGAGTTGAGTGATATTGTCCAAATATTGTTTTCATTTTTATACAACTTAGAATGGCAAACAAGCTGACGGCCCACCTGATGGAAAGTGGTAACCGTCGCCTATAGACATGAGCAGTACCATGGACATAACAGAGTATACTGTTTCGCCCATGATACCCCACATGCGTTGCTATTCCTAAGGACTCAGGTGTTATTTCTCTGTGCCCAGTAAATTCACGCCATATCCCACCCTTCAAACCGAAATACAGCCATGCAAATACAACTGCTTCACGGTTGAAACACGAATGGGACAGAGGTACCCAAGCAATCGACTTTTGTACAAAGTCTCCCTCTGGTATTCTATTAAAAGTATACCAATCAATACAAATAAATTAATTAACATTCAATTTACACGAAAAGGTTTGCTGGTAGAAATTTCTTATTAGAGATAAGCCTCGCCTTTGTACATCGCGTTTAAAATTGTTCTTAACATTATGTTTGTGTACAATAAAGAATAAATGCATTGATTGCATATAAACGGTAGCACTTTACCAATGATTGCACTATGATTACTGTGCCTCTGTTTTGGAATAAAGATATGTCGATATTTTACGTTGACATACCTATATTAAATATACCAATATCTACATAAAAATTACGACATTTTGGTGCTTGGTATATATATTTCAATAAATATCACTCATCTGTATTGTTCGATCTCTTCAAAGCAGATCAAGAAGAAACTACTGGATTATTCTTTTCATGGTAGACCAGCAAATGTAGATTAAAATAAATCTAGTCGTTTCATTATTTAAGTACAATTAAAGTTTATAATAATCTACAAATTATATTGTTTCAGTTAATTTAGTTATTAAATTAGTATATATATATATATATATATATATAACAAATGATACACTACAAGCCTACAATAATATCATCTAATTTATTTTAATTAAATATGTAACTATAGTCTGTTTCATTGGAGCGTAATAAAAATGTAAACAGATGGACACACAGTTTATTTGATTTTTTTTATTGATTTATTAATAATAATTACGAAAAAGATTTATCGACCACGAATGACTAGAGGTGTCGGTAGGGGCCGCCCTAGATGGACATATGTCTACCAAGCACGCGACGTGCTGATGAAGGGCCAAATTAAAAGTACTCGTAGCCGGCGAGCGTGTATGAAAAGATCGATGAATGTGGAGGAAGCGAAAGAGGTTTGTTTCAATCGAAGCATTTGGCGTTTCGTTGTTTCTGCCTACCCTAATGAGAGACAGGCGTGACAATTGTGTATGTATGTATGTATGATTATTAATCAACAGTAGTTTTTTTTTTAATGCATTGTAATGGTTACCTCGCCTGCGCTATCGGTATACACTGGCGGGGCACCAGTGAGGGAGGATAGGTGAGGATGAAACAGGTTAATTGGTCCATAGTGACGAATTTAACAATAAATCGATCACAATGGTTTCCAGGGGGAACCGCGTGGAGGTAGACCTAATAGTGTATATTGCTAGCAAATCGGATTGCTAATCTCCATTACCAACAATCCCTTCTCCTGCAATCAACAATAGTAGGTGGGGCACTTTATACGACATGATGATTTTATAAAGAACATACTAGAAGGACAAATAGAGGAAGGGAAAGGATAAAAAGGGAAGACAGAAACAGAAGACATGGAACAAATGAAGGGAAGACTTGGTGTTAAAAACATTGTACCAGAGGGAGACTTTGTACAAGTCTTCCTGGGGCATCTCTGTCCCATTCGTGTTTCTACCGTGAAGCAGTTGTGTTTGCATGGCTGTGTTTCGGTTTAAGGGGTGGGATATGACAGTGAATTTACAGGGTACAGAGGAATAACTCCTGAGTCCTTAGGAATGGCAACGCATGGGAGGTATCATCAGCGAAACAGTATATTCCGTTATGTCTATGGTACAGCTCATGTCTATAAGCGACGGTTACCACTATCCATCAGGTGGACCGTCAGCTTGTTTGCCATTCTACCATAAGTTGCATAAAAAAATTGTCTAAAACAGAGCTGGTTGCAAATTGATTACAAGGAATTAATTGAATGATTCGATTAGTTAATTAATTAAATTTAGAGAGAATCCGTGGGGTTCGTCCGTGTGGTCCCGGCATAGAATAGGCCACCGCTTCCTTTCCCGTGGGTGTCGTAAGAGGCGACTACGAGGTCGAGGGATGGGCAGCAGCGTCCCTCTTAAAACATCTCCAAAGCCAAACTGCGGTTGCCAACCCGCCTGCCGAGCATGACAATTACTGGTAAACCCCCCTTAAGGGGGAGGTTATGTCCAGCAGTGGACAGTAAAGCCTGATATGACGACGATGATTATTTAGAAAGCATTTCTGTGGTAATTTTAACAAAACTTGTTTACGTTTTTGTTAAGTTCCGTTGAAACAGAGTATAGTGGAAACTAGGATAAATAATTTTGGACAAATATTTACATAATATTGTAATATTTTCTAGCTAGTATTTTATTTCTATTCGGAACTAAGTAATCTCAGGTAACAAAGTGACAATAATCCTACATGCTAGAATGATAGTTTATTATTATTATTATTAGCTATCTATTTATTTATTATAAATCTAACGATGACTGATAATTTAATAACTTCTTTAATATATCGAAGGACACTGGTACGGAACACAAAAGTAACACCGTAATCTCAACCTTATTACAAACGACAGAGATCTTATTATTAAATAATACAATTTTTTTTTATTATTTTACGCTTCTCTGAAGCCCTTGTTACCTAATATATATCTAATACAATTATTTTTATTTCCTTGTTTTTTTTTTAATAATAATTTGCAACAAAATATATATATTTTACTTTTTAATTTAAGCAAAGCACTTAACATTTAGTTTTTCTTTGTTTAGTAAAATAAAAGAAGTAAATAACTTAAATAAAATAATAAAATAAAAAAATAAAATCTTAATCTAAAAACAAATACACTCTCACCCGACTGTTCTCTAATGGGGTAGGTAGTAAGAGGCATATAGAGATTTCCGTTATGGCAACACTTGACATGCGCATATTTCATCGAGCATATTTGAATCCAACATGGTAGGAGGCGAGCGTACCGCCGACACCCTGATTCGTTCTATATTGGTGTTTTCCATCACCGAAGAGTTAGAAATGTAAATTGACATCCAAGCCATAATTGAACTCACGACTTTTACAGTCTACAAGTTGAGCCATGACACAAGAAGCAGTTGGAACACCAACAGCACCTAAAAATGACTGCAAGCAAATTGGACTGCCCATACGTGAGTTACTGTTGCAACATATTGAGAGGTATGATGCAGAAATGATATACTTTTTTTTATTTATAACACAGGGGGCAAATGAACGGTTCACCTGTTGGTAAGTGACTACAACCGCCCATGATCACCCACAACACCAAAAGCATTGCAGGTGTATTGCCGGCCTTTCAAAAAGGAATATGCTCTTTTCTTAAAGGTTATGGATGTCGTATCGATTCGGAAATACTGCTGCTGGAAATTGATTCCCAAGAATGGTATCATAGTAATGATAAAAATATACTAAAATATTTTTAAATTTTACAAAAAAAATTGTCCTTGTTACTCCTTATAAATTTATTCATTCATACCAATTTCATGACAAAGTTAAAACGACTAAAGGAAAAAAGCATAATACATTAGTGGAAGAGACGAAATCACTAGAGAAACATAATACTTACACTAGAGCAAGAGACGAGAAAATCTAAAAACCCTTAGATTAAGCTTCTTAGTAAAGTAGGCTAATATCTTTTGGTTATGGGGATAGAAGAGGCCCTATAACAAATCATTGAAACTTTTGATTCCATTTTTTAGTTCTCTATCACTGACCCTTATTTATTGTGGAATGCTCTCGCTCGGCTGTGAGCAGAAGTAGATGGAGACGCATTGCGAAGACCTCAATGGCGAAGGAGGGCCTCATCGACGATCCACTATCGTCATAAAAACCACGACTACTCCGTCAAGAGTGTACGACTGAAGAGAAAGAGAGAGAAATCACTGAGCAGTTTTTAAAGGACCGTATAGGAGTAAACCTGAAAGTTACCTCATATTGACGCAGTGGATGGCACGTTACTTTACAAATGAGGTCCTAGCTTCGATCTCTGTCTGCTCATTTTACGACGCGAGTTATCCTAAAAGGATTTAAGTCTTTGCTTGTTGTGGGTTGTACTCTCAGATGTTTTGTTTCTAATTTCTCATAACACAGAGAGTACGGCAGATACCGTCAATGGAACGTGATGGGACTTCATATCAGAGCCTGCCGCTCTCCAACTACATAAAGCACAGGTAAAGTCATGCTCGCTGTGTGGTCTCGGCATAAAGTAAGCCACTTCTTTCTTTTCCATGGACGTCGTAAGAGGCGACTAAGAGAACATAATGGTGAAGAAATGGACAGCAGCGTCCTTCTTAAAACATCACTAAATAGCGTGACTGCGGTTGCCAAAACGCCTGCCAAGCTCAGCAACTACCGGCAAAACTCCCTCTATGGGGAAGGCTTATGTTCAAAAAGTGGACAATTAACGGCTGATATGATGAAACTCATGTATGGAGTACTGCTTGCGTCTCTGGGATGTTTTGGCTCAGTTTCTCCTATACGTTCTCGGTATTCTGCCGTGACGAGCTGTCCGCACCGTGGAAGATGTTAAGGCGTGCAAAACTTTTTTTTTTAATCCAATGAGGTGGCAAACAAGTATACGGTCCATCTAATGGTCAGCGGTTACCGTAGCCTATGAACGCCTGCAATACCAGGGGTATTACGCGTTATAAGGGGTATTTATGCCCCATGCTGTAATCTCTTGGGAAAACTCTAGGGTCTCTACAATTGCATAGGGATATAGCCTCCTCAGTTTCTTTCACCCCTTAATTCATGAGAAGTACTCAGAAGAATTGCATCCCTACACGTTAGAGCGCCTGCGCTCGCACACAAATAACTTTGCGAATTCATATGTAAACCGTAAAGTGACATCCTGCAATGGACTTTCTCGTGACCTGTTCTTTTCTTTCGTAGAAAATAGATAAAGCACTATTGAACTAGCATAGTGCAGCCAATCGTTGAGAGTAGACCATAGACTCTAGTGATATGGACTTCTACAAAATAACACCTAATTCAATACTATACTAGAATATAGGAATGTAAGCAATCAATGTATTGAGCATTTTAATTTATTAAGATCAATTCACTAAGGGCATCCAATTTTAGCGAATTATTTACCATTCATGAACCAATCACAAATTTTTGCAACTTTCGTCACTATTAGTTGAACCTTTAAGGCGTATTTGATAAACAGACACACTTCTGTATTTATAATTATAGTAAGGATTTATAAGGGGTATGTTTTTTTTTATTAGTATATTTATTCTAAAATTTTTGCTTGGATAAAATAATTGTCAAAATGTAATAAAATTACGTTGGTACGTTTACATATTGTAGAATGAAATAAATTAGAACTAGTAAGGCGTTATTCGTAAAAAAATATTAATAACTTTGTATTAAATAGAGTTGTTATCTTTATGGATAAAACGTCATAGATGTATGGAGGTACAGGTTAAAACTTTATGTATATTTAATAAGATTTGAATATATTTTTTTTTTTATTTCACAACCCTATTATATAAACTCTGTAAACACAACCTGGAAACTAATTTATTTCTATTGTAAAAACATAACGGTACACTTATAAATGAAATAAAAATAAATTTAAAAAAAGAAAATGTTTATTATCACCATAATTATAAATAAAAAAAAAGTATAAAGAAGAAATAAATTAAATTAGTTGTTTAATATAAAATCACAACATCCGATCGTTAACTACATTTGTATCATGTAATAAAAAAATGCACAATATAAAAAGAAATTTAATTATTTAAAGCGGTATATTTTTTTAGAAATAAAAAATCTGATCACCTGTTCTAAACTCTGAATATTATATTTTTAGATGTAACAATTTTGACATTAATGTATTTTATTTATTTATTTATTTATTTATTAATAACATAATATCATTAATTTTCTGTCACCAAATACCGCTGCAGTATTTTATTTTATAATTTATTTTATCCTTATAATTATCATAGCCTATCTTTGTATACTTAACGCAGATATGTTGTATACTTCTTAGCTCTAATATGGAATCGAGCATCATCGTCCGTAGACAAGTAAGTAACTATTACATTTCTAAACACGTTTCGTTTAAAGCAAAAATATGAATTTTGTTATTTTATAACAAATTTTAAAGAAAAACCTCCTTATGACTTTAGTAATAAAGTATTTTCTTCGTATATACGTATTCTGAAGTTATCATCTCCGTATTCTATATCCCATTATGAGGTTAGTTTAATTTCTATTCATTTTCTATTTCCGGAAGTATTGTAATTTTATGTTATATGTATTATTTTATATTTATCTTACTAAAAGTAAATTAATATGAGACTTTGTCATAATACTAAATCATGCGTGTGGAAGCGTATTTAGAAATGAAATAGTTAAATCCTTTATCTATGTCCTTTAGTAAACTTTGCTACATCTAAGCAATATATACGTAAGGTACGATACATTCAAAATAAGAATAGAATCTATAATTGTCCATTATCATTTAAAAAGTGGGTAAGGTTTGCATAAACATGCTTTTAGAATTATTTCAGTAGCCTCTGGAGATAGTAGCCTCCGGAGAAGATGCCGGGGCAATGGGGTTCGTCCCGAAGCCCCTACCTCGCCCGCCCTCACCATCGGGTGTCAAGAAGACCTTGACTGACTTAGATTTATTTAGCACATATAATTGTTTCATTCATTTTTATTTATACTTAAGACGAATTAAATTTTCAAAATAATTTAATTAAATTTGATTACGTACCGATTTATTTGCATATATAACTTTTTATTTTATTTTACAGATGTGTAACTACTTTAGCATACAAAACATCACAGAATAAAGTATTTATTTATTTATTAAAATAATGTAATGGAAGAGACTGGAAGAGTCAGTTCTATTCTTACTTCGATTGCAATTTATTCATAACATCAATTATATTTGGTGTTCACTTTAACGTCTCCAATCTGATCGTTTAAACAAAAGGAAAATAAACAACCTTCATCTTTACTAACAGCTAGATAAATACATTTAAAACTTTTATTTGGAATTTAGAGATCTATTCTACGTTAGGTCATGTCATAAGAATAAACACACTGGGCACAAATAACACTCACATGCGTTCCTACGGTAATAATAACAAAGTATACCCTTCAGACTTCGCGTCTATGCGCGAGGGTTGTCACAAAAAATATTTAATAAAAAAATCTACGCTATTTACGCAATATAATTAAGCGAGATATACGATCTCTCTGCGTGTGTCGCTCGTGAGCCCTGACTGATTATTGATTGATTGTGCTTTTAAAAGGACGCACTTTAAATCAATTATTATTAAAATTGAATTCATGCGAGTGTCCTTTCCACCTAGATATTTATTCTTATGGTCGTACTACTTAAACTAAATATAACTAGTCTGGCATATTTATTTGCTAAAGCTTGGAACTAGTTCGTAAATTTTCGTAAAAAAAAGTATTCAAATGTATCGACAACAAATAATCGGTAATGTAGTGAAATAACAAAAGAAACAGACTGCTACTTTTCAAAATTGGACTGACTGAATATTGTGTATGCGCTATTGCTTCTTGGGCTCGTCCGTCACACGATGTCTGCAGCTTTGGGACTAGAAGCGCTGCGCTTCCTGTAGAAACACAATAATATAATTAACTTACTTAAATAATTAATTAAATATAAATTAATGACATTAATATTAATTTATACATATAATTAATATTAAATGAATTAGATTAATTAATAAATACATTTTAATTTAATTATTTTTTATTATATTTTTGTTGCATATATTAATAAAATAGTATAAATTTAGTGTGACCTATATAAATATTTATTACACAGTCGTATTTATATTTACGTCGATAAGTTTGTCTGGAAATCTGACTTTACAATGCCATTTGATTAAATTATTTAATAAATTAAAATGAATTAAAATTTAATTTATTTTAATTTAATTAATTTTTGTTGTATGTTTGTTGAACATATTAATAAAATATCCAAGTATCTAGTGTGAGCTACACAAATATTTATAATACATTCGCATTAATATTTACGTCGATAAGTTTGAATGGAAACCTTACTTTCCAACGCCATCTGTTAGAGATGCAGTTAAGTTTTAAATACAAATTTTCTATGTAAAAGCTAACACTGTAGTAAAATAAATGAAGAATAATCTAACGTCAATGATGAATTTAAAAATGATAGTGTCAATGACATGATGATATGTTTTTTCATTAAAATTTAAACCCATATATAATATATTATAAATTTTCTCAGCGTGGCGATAGACCAAGCTTGTGACACTCATTTTTATACTCTACATATCATAGAAATTAAATGAAGAACAAAACGTCCAAATCTGTTAATATCTAATTGAGTTATGAGGTAACAAAAATAAATATAAAAAAAATATAATCGAATATGAGAACTTACTTCTTTTTGAAGTTGCTTGAAAATATATCTATATAGCTTAGTTCACAAGGAATATATATATAGTGAAGAACCCATGGTATACCTAAGGTTTAGATTATATAGAAAAACGGGTCAACTTTTTCATACAATTTTGCGTGATAAATAGTTACCTTCATAAGTTCTATATTTATTTTATCTTCACAAAAACTCATTTGAATTACAAAATAATTGAATATAGATACCTCAAGATACATTGAGTGAGTAAGTATATAGAATAGAAACGGCTTGCCCAGAACCAAGGGATTACAGATATCTTAAACCGCGGGATATCGTTAAGGAAACACATAGGATCTACGAAGTGATGGTATAAGGCAGGGGGAAGTACAAAAGATCCTGATGGGTCGACGTGCAATGGCTTAGCTGATCCCATATGCGAAAATAAGTATATAAAACATTAATAAAAAAAAATTAGTCAGCTAATTGTCAAAAAGTTGACCCGTTTTTGAGGCTCGATGCTCTATGTAATCTAAGACCTAAAGTATACAACTTTAATGTAAATATGAATGTATCTGAACATATAAACAAAAAACATGTGTACATTTACGTGTATAAAACATAACAACACAAAACCCATTCCCATACAAAAATATTTACCATTCGGTCATATTAATGGCATAAAAATCGGCTACACGTCTGTGGTGAACCTGTAATGACGATGTTTGTACAATTCTGATGCCTTGGACGTCGCATGATTTATATTATGGTCATTGATCATTTTAGTCCGTTTCTTAAAACTATTAAGTAAGTAAGAACTAGTAAGTAAAACCTCAAAATAATGATAGGGACAATAACGGGCCATTGTCCATTAAACAAACATTCATACACAATAGGAGCCACAGACAGCCCTCTATGTCGAGGCTGTTTCGACGCCGAAGAAACGGCTGCTCACGTAATCCTGGAATGTGAGGCTGTGGCCCATCAACGTTTAGAAATCCTCGGAACGGCGAGGCCTGTGAAGATCCCAGGAAGCTTCTGCGCTTCTGGGCGGAGCTAGGTTGGCTGTACTAGCCACGACTCATACGCACAACGGCCCAAATGAGAGGCTAAGCGAGCGCGGAAAATAGAGTCCTATTCACATTCACATTCAACTATTATGTACATAATTTTTAGAAAAAAATCTATCGAGATGGATAGTAAAAAAAAAAAATAATTTATACAGTAATTAAGAGATGAAAATTAAAATGTTTATCCCGATACCATCTCTTACATATTAGTAAATAAAAAAATGTTTTTGTAGATTCTATCAAAATATGATGTGAGGTCTAATCAGATGGTGAATTTACAGGGTACAGAGGAATAACACCTTAGTCCTCAATAATGGCAACGCATTGGGGGTATCATGGGCGAAACAGTATACTCTGTTATGTCCATGGCACTGCTCATGTCTATAGGCGACGGTTACCACTTTTCATCAGGTGGGCCATTAACTTGATTGCCATTCTAAGTTGCATAAAAAAAAAACGTGAACAGCAGAGTTTTCAGCAGAGATCATATATGAAGGACTTATAAGTGGTGGAAATGCTGAGCAGGATGCAAGATGTTAATATGTATCGCTTCAATGAATCCCAAAATCACGTATTGGATTCCCCTACTAGCATTTATTATTATTATTTGCCAGAGAAAGTTTTATTTGATGGATGAATAGCATATTATTATGTGTTCGGTGCTTTACGATAAATGCAAGACTAACTTGTCATGGAACGTTTCACGGGACACGACCACTTCTTCTTCCGACTCGTCAGTCAAGTCGTCCCTCACATACGTCCTGTTGGTGAAGCCTCCCATGTCCACTGGAATTGAAAATAATTACACATTTTAGAGAATGCTACACTCGCTAATGTGGTCCCGGCATAGAATAGGCGACCCCTGTCTTTCCCGTGGATGCCGTAAGAGCCAACTAAAAGAGGGCGAGGGATGGGCAGCAGCGTCCCTCTTTAATCTCTAAAGCCTGATTGCCAGTAGTTGCCACTCTTGGCAGGCGTATTGGCAACCCAATCCGCTTGCCAAGCGTGGCAACTACTGGCAAAACGAAAATATGGGACGAAGTATTAAATTACATGGAGCAAGGATAGAAAATTTTAGCACTTAGTTCTCTCTACTATATCTCTTTCTGCTACTTTTACTTGGAGCTAGTTATGTGGAAAATAATAAGCTATCTTTTATGGGTAATCCATAAGAAGATTATGTTTTTTGCATAAAATAAAATACTTTTACTTGGAGCTAATTATGTGGAAAATAGTCGGCTATCTTTTATGGGTAATCCACAAGATTATGTTTTTGCATAAAATAAAATAAAATATTTGTCGCTGGGGACCAACTGACCTGGCTTCATCATCACCTATCATTAAAAATATATCTATCTATTTATCATCCCTCACTGGTACTCCACCAGCAAAAAAAAGGTCAGTACAGAGATTTACGAACTTATTACCTCTGATAACTTTTGCTGGACGATTAAGACAATTTTTTTTAAAGTAATTACCGTTTTGATAGTTAACAGTTTACCATTTATATATTTTGTTTGTGATTTAACAGTGGCAGTTCAGTTAAAACTGGTAATTTACCTCTAGTGGTGTCTTCGAAGTTGTTGTCATGCCATTTGTAGTTGCTCTCGGTGAACAGCGGCGGCAGGGTCTGGTGTGGCGTGGGGTACATGTCCAGGCTTTGTTTTTCGTTGTGCAGACTATCTGTGTCGCTGTACGTTTGCATTCTGTAACATGATAATAGAAAATTTAATGAATATACTAAGGGAATAAGGAATCACGCATAAAAAGGTAGATCGGGTTCCAGTCGATAAATTGTTAAGTACATACATCATCAGCGTTGCCGAGACCGGTTCAGGAAGTGATGGCTTGAGGATCTAGACAGATTTAAAGGGGAAGTGATGCCGAACAGGAAGTTTTGGAAGGAGATGGAGAGACCTTTGTCCAGCAGTTTGACATCATGGGTTAAAATAGATAGATAGAAGATGCATCATAATACCAATAGTTCTGAAAAATTAAAGGAAGACTTTGTACAAAAATTATTGAGGACTACCTATATGGATACCTCTACCACACTCATATTTCTACTGTGAAGCAGTTATGTTGCAATTATATTTTTGCAAGTAAATCAATATTTTTCCAAAGAAATAGAAAATCGAAAAATGTAAAACTACGCATCCTAACTTCAGAGCTGGATGTGGCGGATATAAAAGGCTTAAAAATTATTATTATTGTTCGACCCATACTTGCATTTCTTAGGAAATAACATTCCGTCTCGCTGGTAGAACACTCTATTAAAAGCATGCTAGCTTTTTGTCGGGACTTCGTCGGTGTAACCGGGATATGTTTACTGACCGGGATAAAAGTAGTCTATACTATTTTCCACCCCATAGAATGGGTCACCCCTTCCTTTCCCGTGGATGTTATAAGAGACGACTACAGGAGGATGAGGGATGGGCAGCAGCGGTCCTCTTAAAACATCTTAAGAAGGAAGGATTATGTCCAACAGTGGACAGCTAACGGCTGAAATAATAATAATAAATTAATAAATAGATTTTAAATTGTACCTGGTGTAGTTCTCAAAGCAGCTGAACCTCCATAGCGCGAATGCAAGCATCATGACAGTGATGAGGACGGCAGCAGCCAACACTAGCCACATCAGGATAATGGTACCGTCGTCTGGGGTCGTGAACTCCTGGAATAAAAAATGTGAGGAGTTAACACTATCTTCATGCGAGGTCCTTTGTGGAATGTAAGAGAGGCATCATTATCTCTAGTTTCAACCATTTCCATAACTCATGTGTCAGTTTCGGACACACTTGTCTCATATCTCCAGGTAGTCCAGGTAGTCTGCTGATTTTCACCACCGTACAACCCGCTATAAATTAAAGTTCCATCCCAATCATCTGGCAAACGAGCATGTGGCTCACCTGATGGTAAGAAACTACCGCCGCTCATGATTATCCGCAACACCAGAAGCATTGTGTGCTGCCGGCCTTTTAAAAAGGAATATGCTCTTTACTTGAAGGTTATGATGTCGTATCATTCTTAAGATTAAATTAAATTTGAAGACCAGAGGGAGACTTTGTACAAAAGTCGATTGCTTGGGTACCTCTGTACCATTTGTGTTTCAACCGTGAAGCAGTTGTGTTTGCATGGCTGTGTTTCGGTTTGAAGTGTGGGATATGGCGTGAATTTACTGGGTACAGAGGAATAACACCTGAGTCCTCAGGAATGGCAACGCATGGGGGGGTATCATGGGTGAAACAGTATGTGTGTGTACTGTTATGTCCATGGTTCACTGCTCATGTCTATAGGCGACAGTTACCACTTTCCATCAGGGGGGCCGTCAGCTTGTTTGCCAAAAAAAAACTCAGTAACTTCACTGTCATTTCCCATTCTTCAAACCGAAACAGCCATTCAAGAACCTTTTTCTCTCAGTAAAGTTAGATAAAAAAAAAAGTTTATGAATACTTACAGAAACACCTAAATACTTGAGCCTAGTGGCGAAGGGGTCTCTGGTGGCGTACGTGTACCACATGGCTTTCAGGTCGCTTTCGTTGAGCCTGGGTTCCCTGTCATCATCGTAGACCAGGGGCACGGAGAACTGAACTTCCACGCAGTTGTCGAAGCCTGGCCAGTTGATATTGCAGATGTAGGTACGGGTGATTTGGGTGACGAAAATTCTGGAACACGCAAATGAGGTGACGATGAACGAATGAATGATTTATTTCTCTTCCTGAAAGGTAGAAATATTATATTAATAGTTTAAAATAAGATACAAGTAAATTTATAGTCGTACGGTGCCGATATGGAATGGGCCACCCCTCCTTTCCCGTGGGTGTCATAAGAGACAAAGGACTAAGGAAATTTAATGATCGAGGAATGGACAGTAGCGTACCTCTTAAAACAACCATAAAAGTCTAATTATTGTCTGTTAAGCGTGTCGATTGCTTGGTTACCTCTGTCCCATTCGTGTTTCTACCGTGAAGCAATTGTGTTTGCATGGCTATGTTTCGGTTTGAAGGGTGGGATATGGCGTGCATTTACAGGGTACAGAAGAATAACATCTGAGTCCTCAGGAATGGCAACGCTTGGGGGGTGTCATGGGCGAAACAGTATACTCTGTTATGTCCATAGTACTGCTTATGTCTATAGGCGACTGTTACCATTTTCCATCAGGTGGACCGTCAGCTTGTTTGCCATTCTAAGTTGTATAAAAAAAATTACAAAACTCCTCTTCTGGAGAAGGCCTATGTTCAGCAGTGGACTGCTAAAGGCTGATATGATGATGAAATAAGATACCTATATATCTCAATCAACGTTTGATTACATCACAACAAACTATTATATGTATGTACTGAATATGAAAGTTTAAAGAAGTAATGTAGTAAGTACTAGAATGACCACCAGATATGGCGGTTAGCTCAGAATATATAGAATAAGGTGTCCCCAACCAACAGCGGTAGTGTCAACAGGATGTAGTGGGAATCTTGGGGGAACAAGATTACCTATAAAAAGCTACAAGAATCTTATGACGATACTATGATATGGCGAATAAATAAGGGGCAGCAGCCATATCAGTACTGGTAGAAGGCAGAAAAAGAGACTTCCAGAAGGGCTTCTAGTCAGCGATCAGAGGGCGAAATATCGGTCTCTGAACTGCGGTGCAGAAAGCAAGATGGGAAACTACTGCATTATAATCCCATAAATAGCAACTAAAGGAATGAAAAAGAAACAGGCCTGGGATAGAAGAAGATGGCTGGAAGAAGACGTATGAATTAGTTGCACCGACAAGAGGAAACTCTTAAATGAAAAGAAGAAGAAAGAAGTAAATAAAAGAACTTTAATTCAATTAGAAATAAAGCTACATGTGTAACAATGAAAATTAACTATGAAATTCAGTTTTCAAAAGCAACTTGGACTCGTGCCAAAACGTTTGTCGGTTTGCGGTGAACTAGCTACTAAATCTAGATATAGCCCATAAAATATTTCAATAATAATATATCTTATTACATTACCACAAATACACTTATGTACAGATGATATTTTGTAATTCATGTGGAGTATACATTTCTTTCTAAGAATGTTTACAACACATTCTCGCGAGAAACATTTCAAAGAGTGTTGATTTACACTAAGTGTGGGAATATATTAAGTCTGCGACTTGTAAATATGGAATCTAATATAAAAATATTCTTATTATTTTTCGATTTAGATGTAAATCGAAAAATTTCTTCGAAATCCTTCTTTGCATGTTTTTTTTTATTGGTGAAATAAATCAAGGTGATATAATTCGTGTTTAAAATGAAAAGGAAAAATTGTTAAAAAAATAAATTTGACAGCTATGTTTTTTTTTCTGCAATGGACATTAAAAAGGTATCCAGACACGATCAACTTAAAGTGTACTTGATCTTTTTTATAATTTTTGGGCATTCAATGTTATGATGGAAATTTCCACCAGCATGCAAAGAAGGGTTAAAGGTAGTTTATTTTTAGGTACTAAACAATTTTATAACACATATGCGGGTAGATCAATATCAAAATAGTTATTAACAATTCGTTCTCTTTTATTCTTTTTTTTTTATTATTATTTCTCACTTTCCTTTTGAATTTAATCTTGTTGGTTTGAGTTGCTCTGTTTGTGTCATGGATTGTTTTATTTGCTCTTCCAATACAGTTTATTGTTTTTTATAACAATATTTATATTTAATTATGTATGTGTATATTTATTTATTTAACATATTATGTGTATGTTTATATTATTCTAATTATATGTTTATAATATGTATATGATTATATTAAGTATTACTTTTTATATTTCTTCAATTTAATAATGCACCGCCTACTTATTTCTCGGTTCGCCCAATGGTTGACTGGTAGAGAACACTGTTCGGTGTTAAGTCCACCATATGTACGTAGAATTTTACTGCGCATTAAAGTTTAAATTTTTATTTTTATACAACTTAGAATGGCAAACAAGCTGACGGTCCACCTGATGGAAAGTGGTAACCGTCGCCTATACACATGAGCAGTACCATGGACATAACAGAGTATACTGTTTCGCCCATGTTACCCCCATGCGTTGCCATTCCTGAGGACTCAGGTGTTATTCCTCTGTACCCTGTAAATTCACGCCATATCCCACCCTTCAAATCGAAACACAGCCATGCAAACACAACTGCTTCACGGTTGAAACACGAATAGGACAGAGGTACCCAAGCAAATGACTTTTGTACAAAGTAAATAAATAAAGTATTCCCGAGCCCATAAATAATATTTCTTTATAATTGTAGTGAGTTATCATTTTGGAATACAGCACGACAGGAAACAAAGTAGCCGATAATGTAACATAATCATTGATTAATAAAATATTATAGGTATTATAAATTTTATCGTCTATTAAAGCAGATCAAAGCGTAAAATCTTTCACATGATAGGCGCTGGTGAATTTTTAATCAAAGATAAGATTACACGGGCTTTGAAATTATTTGTTCGTCGAGGTGATAAACTATAATACGAACATTGAATATCGAATGTTAACTTGAAAAATGTTTCTAAATTTATTACATGATAATTTTTTATTACCAGAGGGAGACTTTGTACAAAAGTCGATTGCTTGGGTACCTCTGTCCTATTCGTGTTTCAACCGTGAAGCAGTTGTGTTTGCATGGCTGTGTTTCGGTTTAAAGGGTGGGATATGGCGTGAATTTAATGGGTACAGAGGAATAACACCTGAGTCCTCCGGAATGGCAACGCATGGGGGGTATCATGGGCAAAACAGTATACTCTGTTATGTCCATGGTACTGCTCATGTCTATAGGCGACAGTTTACACTTTACATCAGGTGGGCCGTCAGCTTGTTTGCCATTTTAAGTTGTATAAAAAAAAAATCTGAGAATTCAACTGAGTACTTTCAATTAGGACTAGCGAGTACGTAACCGTATTATAATATTTAGGAGACCAAGAAATTTCATATAATCATCGTTATCATATCAGTTTCTAATTGCCCACTGCTTAACCCCTCTCCCTAGGGGGTTTTGCCAGTAGTTCTTACTCTTGGCAGGCGGGTTATCAACCGTAGTTAGGCTTTGGAGATGTTTTAAGAGGGACGCTGCTGCCCACCTCACGCCTTCCCTTAGTGGCCTCTTACAACACTACGGGAAAGGAGGCTTTATTTTGACATATATTTACATTAATAAACACGTTAATTCCTTTGAAAGTGAAAGCTTTATTTTTAACGTTTATATTTACCTATTATTATATATTTGTTTATTTAGTAAATATTATATTAATTACACTTGTACTTATTATAATTTTCTCTTTGTTTTATCATATCATTATATTCTTTGTTTATTGTTTGTATTATATTAGTATGTGCTAGCATTTCTGTCTGTGTATATTTGTTTTTAAACATTTTATCTAACGGCTACCAACGTTCGTTTATAATTGATTTTTTACAAATTATTTTTTATACGCTACAGATGATATGAACATAAATCATTAAAGTTATTATTTGGGATATTTCATTTTTTTCACTGATGATGAAAATATGCTAAATAATATATAATACAAGAAATAACACAAAAACTAATGTCTGTAAAATAATGAAAATTTGTGTTGGTAATGTGTCCTAAAATTACTATTCATTCTGACCAGAATAAACCTATCAATACAACTTCCACCTCCGTTACGAGATGGTAAATTAAAGTAATTAAAAAAGCAGAATGTTCATTTAATTTAAGAAACAGAATGAAGTAAATTAATTATAATTAAACAACACTTACCAAAAATATTAGCAGCTAAACTCTTCTAAATTATTGATTTTTAACCTAGTCTTAGTTTACTCTAAGTTAATCTATTGAGACGGATTTGAGACTATGTTCCTAATTGGATATAGCAGTGTTATTCAAAACATTCACTCGATCAGTGACCTAGCCGGTTATTCTTACATAAGAACGAATGACAGCTCGAACGATTACTTTAAAATCTTCATATTTTACATTCAATATACATTTAATATCTTTAATATTATATCTTCACCAGTCTTTGTTTTATTTACAACATTTCTATTTGCGATATGTTTGATTTCACTCTCGCTGCTCTTCGCATTTCATGCCAGAGCCTGCATATGCGAAAGTGCAGTGAAAAGAACCTTATCTCCAAACCTCATACAAGCTTTTCCTCTGTGAACTTGACCGGCTTCTTTAGAATCTCGACCGTGTTGTCCGAGTTAATGACACAATCCACTTTAGCCGTTTCATTATTGTTATAGTTATCTCTCGTTGCGGCTCCAGTGATCTTAGATTGTTTATTTTCAGATTTTACATCGTTATTATTGTCAACACGTATTTCGTCCACAGCAAGATTTAAATCAGATTTTTTAGTAGCTACTGACACTGATTGATTTGGCAAACAGTTTTCTGTGCATCCTTTGTTTTTAGCAATTTGAGGGTAGTGGTGCAGTATCGCTGTTGTATTAAATGTTATTTTCCCATATTTAACGAACTCGGTTGGCTTTTTCGATTTATCTCTACTCGTACTAGGTCCTGCTTCGACATCTACGTCGCTATTTTTAAATTTACCGGAATTTGGATTATTGATTGGGCTTTCGACTTTAATTCCTTCGAACATATCCTTCGTATCTTCTAATAATTCTAAAGCGACATTTTTACTTCGTCTTACGTTTTCCATATAGGTATTATAATTATTCATATCTACAGTGTTGCTTTGTTTTAGTGGCAAAGAATTTGGCAATTTCTTTTGAGGTTTTTCCTCGGCTATGTATCACAATTGTTTCTGAGAATTTTGGCATTTACTTGTTGTCATGTCGGACTTGGCCGCGCCGTTGTCGCGCGCGGCGTTTGTTAGCTATGTCTGAGACTGTACCATAGATATGCTGGTCGTCTCAGTGACAATCGTAGGTGCAGGAAACTCATCGCCAGTCGAATCATATATAGGGAACTCACAGCACAGCATGCATTTTAGAAATTTTGGCACCTCTACGTAAATTGCTGGCGGTATTGGTATCAATGGTGACGTGGATGCTTTGTAATATAGATAATCTGGATTATCTCTATATTTTTCGTCCGCTGATCGTTCCAGCAACGGAATACCCGATAAGAACAATATGATAGCAGTTGTGAACAAAGGCGACATTATAGCTATCCATTCGACGCCTTCGACTACATTCAAAGATATGATAAAAATGCCCCACCACAGTACAACCTCACCAAAGTAATTTGGATGTCTTGATAGGCCCCACAGCCCATCGTTGCACCACCTCCCTTGATTCGATGGCTCTTGTCTGAACGCAAATTTTTGTAGATCTGCATACGTTTCTATAAGTAAACCTATAACGAATATCCCGGCTCCTGCCGAATCTAAAGTCGTCATGGTTTTAGGTGACTTTGGAAATGAGTGATGCGGAGAATTTACTATGATTACAGGTAGACTTACAATATATACCCATACAGCCTGGAATGTGTAGAAGACAGCAAACCTCAATGTGTTACTCTTTCTGTCTTCAAACTGTTTATCTCTCCCGATATGATAAATTCTGTATATGAGGTAACCAGATAACCTGGCGCCCCAGACACAGACGAAGGCTGTTACCATCAACTGGCGACTATCATAACTCTTCAATGTACTCCCGCCTTGACCTAGGAAGAAGGTCAGCAACGCTATAATTATGAAATTAGCACCGCCAGTGAAATCGGTTACTTTATCACTCTGGAAAAGCGATGCTATGGTGAAAAACAATATCTGCATTGCTACAGTCACCATAGCGCTTATGGCGAAATTGTTCCTATCTATAAGAGGCTCCATGGTTTTGTAAATTTGACACTACAAGTCCGTGAGTTTGGCATCAGGAAATACTGGATGCATCGATTCGCGCTTGTCGCATTGCCGCATATTCACACACTCGGGTTTGTAGCACTGAACTCTTTGTTTGTCATTTTTTTATATATTACAATTGTATTAACCGAGACGCGATTATGTGATATTATGCGCTTATATGCTTTTGTTTTCAATTTATTGGGTGTATTTTGCAGCGTTTGGTTGTACACGCGCCTCGCGTAAGTTTTGGTTTTACTGAAATAGATTTGACGTTCGCAACGCGCCTGCGTGAGGTACCAGTTTACGCATGCGCGCTGACTCACCATTAAGACGAGAAACTTTTAAAATTACGCTCCTCTCATTATCACGTTCATTTTTATAGCTTTATAATTGTATTCCTTTGATAAATTTAACATGTTCGCGTTAAGAGATTACAGATTGCTATTGTTTTTAACATTTATCGTCTGAGAGGTTATTTTGTCACGTTTTGTAGGTCACAGTGACGTTGTAACAGGTCAGAAAGGGGACACCTGTGTTTGTATACGAGCATACAAGTGCGTACTTTATTATTAATTCTCGCTCGTGGCTTTGTTCATGTAGAATCTGGTTGTAAGGTCATGGTAGCTGTATACATAATACCTACTCTGTTTAATTATGAACTGTATCGGATATATTTAATATTATGTAGGTAGATATACAGGACTTAATATTTGTAAAGTCATTTTTATTACAGTACTCTACCTAGTGTTTCTCCTATGTTCATATCTTTAAAAATGTAAGGTCCATATTACTTGTATGATATAGATTTTTTTATATTATATTAGGTTTTACCTACGAGTTCGTACATGTGGGTTTTGAGAATAGAAAAACTCATTAATTACATTTGGAGAAATCAATAAAACAGACCCTCTTCTAAATAAGATATCAAGACAAAACATACATCAGATTTCAAGTTAGACCTTCAGGGATATAGTTGTGAAAACCGCATCTAATTTGGTGCAGTAGTTTTTAAATGATGTCGGAAGAAACATCGTCTAATTTTATTATATTAGTAACAAATAATTAAACGGAAATATAAATCACAAATTGTATTTTCTGTTTGTTTCTTACTATAATATAGTATATTATATATATTAGATCGTAAGAGGCGAGTAAGGGAACATATTGTCGAGGGATGGGCAGCAGCGTCTCTTTTAAATCCTCCAAAGGTTGTCTGGAAGAGATTGCTTAGCAATTAGACCGCCTTTTGTACTACACTACACGTATTGAAAATTGTTCAACAAATCCTGTTATGTTGATGCAATAAAGTGTTAAATAAATAAAAATAATTAAAATAAATCTCAATTGTGAATAAATTACATAGGACCAATACGGGAATAAACCTTATCGTAGGCCAGGGAGGACCAACGGGTTCATCGCGACTATTAGTCTAGTCAATCGTGGCGAGGCAAAAATATAATATTTTGCTAACCCAACAGAAATTGCTCAGACGCAATGCTCACACTAAAATAAATAAGTAGTTTCTAAGAATAATTTACAGTTTTATGTTTTACTTTTAATAAAAGAAAAAACATTACAATACCACACAATTGTGTACTGAACTATGTTGTTATATTTGTGATTTCAAGAAGTATGTAATTGGTAGATCGTACAGAGTTTCGTCAGTAAACAGTAGATCTTGGGTCTAGTCAAGGCCGCCACCCCTGGTATATAGCATCATTTTTATGTATTAATACAGTCAGGCAGTCAGTTTTTTTTTTGATGGGTGAAAATGGTATTGTAACCCCGCCTGCGCTAACGGGATACGCTGGCGGAGCACCAGTGAAGGGTGATAGATGAGAATGAAAACAGGCCAGTTAGCCCATCATGATGAATTCATCAGGAATTAACCATGATAGTTTCCAGGGAGAACCGCGAGGAGGTCGACCTGGTTGGGTATATTGCTAGCAATAGGATTCTCAGTTTCCATTACTAACAATCCCTTTCCCCCTTCAGGCAGTCAGTTGTAAATAATTCGAAATATACGTCACTATCAACCATATGATATAAATACATCTAACAAAACTTATAAACATAAATTTTGGTGACTTTTGATCGTATAACCACAACCAGAGGGAGACTTTGTACAAAAGTCGATTGCTTGGGTACCTCTGTCCCATTCGTGTTTCTACCGTGAAGCAGTTGTGTTTGCATGGCTGTGTTTCGGTTTGAAGGGTGGGATATGGCGTGAATTTACTGGGTACAGAGGAATAACACCTGAATCCTCAGGAATGGCAACGGATGGGGGGGTATCATGGGCGAAACAGTATGTGTGTGTACTGTTATGTCCATGGTACTGCTCATGTCTATAGGCGACGGTTGCCCCTTTCCATCAGGTGGGCCGTCAGCTTGTTTGCCATTCTAAGTCATATAAAAAAAAAATTGATAGTCGCTTCTAAATCCTAAATAAATAAAACAAAACTTACGTATCATTCAGTCCCAGTTCGATTCCATTCGCGTTTATATACATTGACGCCATATTAGCTAGTAGCAGTCTGAATTCCTCCTTGATCTCTTCAAACTCGGTTACATTTACACCGGCCAGGTACAGCGTCATGATCGCATTAGGCTGTGGAAGTATTGGTTCTGGTTCTGGCATTTCTTCGGGTTCTTCTTCGGGTGGTGCTGAGGAGATAAGAATAAGTTCTAATTTTCTGAAGTTTACAGGTTGATGTAAGTGTAATTGGTAATGATGCAAGTGGCAACCGTCGTCTATAGACATAAAAAGCAATGTAGACATAACAAAAACATTGTGAATCCCATGGGCTTCCTGAGGGGTACCATGGCAACCCTAATTAAAAGAACCATCAGAGGAAAAACCAGTGCAATTCGTACACTTTTGTTTTATTCTTAAGAATTTTTTTTATACAAGTGGATATATTAATAAATATTAGATGCTGTATGCTATTAAGCATACAGCAGCAGTGAGTGGGTGGGGTCAAAATATTAAGTCGCAGTATCCAATAATTTCACCATTTAAACAGGAACATAGCATGCAAACGCAGTGTAGTACGACTCCCACTAGATGGAGTGACGAGCTCAAATGAATTGCAAGGAGTCAATGGATGCAGGTGGCCTAGGACCATTTTTCATGGCAGTCTATGGGGGAGGCCTATGTCCAGCAGTGGACGGGTAATGGCTGGAATGATGATGATGAAAGTATGCAGAGAAGCCATTTGAAAAAATATTAGAGACAAAACTATCAAAGGAATTCTTCCTTTGCTGTGGGTGTCGTAAGAAGTAACAAAGGGAATTTGGTCGAGGTATGGGCAGCAGCATTCCTCTTAAAATATCACCAACAGCCTAACTGCGGTAGGAGAAATGAATTGGTAGTAATGGAGACCATCACCCCAAGGTCAGGTAAGTATAATACCTGCCATATAAAATGTAATATTTACCAATCATTTTCACGCTAAGCTTAAAGCCAGTCCGGAGCATCATTCCAGGCTTGGATTCAAATCTGATGAACAGTTGGTCGACATCCATGAAGCGGTAACGCCGTTCTTCGTTTAGGTGGTAAGCGAATACCAAACCGTTGTCACCAGAGCTATCAACGCTACCTAATTATTGTAAAATAAAAATGTTGGTCAGAATTTAATCGTTTATAAAAGTATAACATGATAGATGTGCGTTAATACGTTATTTTGTTGAAACGAAAATTCCAAATGTATTTGATTTAGAATTGCATTTGGAAACACAACATGATTAAATGGAAGACAAAAATTCTTTTTTTTTTTATGCAACTTTGAATGGCAAATAAACTGACGTCCCATCTGATGGAAAGGAGTCAATGTCGCCTATAGGCATGGACAATGCTATGGATATAATAGATTATACTGTTTCGCTCATGATACCACCATGTGTTGCCATTCCTGAGGACTAAAGTGTTATGCCTCCGTACTCTATAAATTTACTGCCATATCTCACCCTTCAAACCGAAACACAGCCATTTAAACAACTACTTCACAATTGAAACACGAATTTGAAAGAGGTACCCAAGCAAACCTCTGGTAAGAGTTAGAATTAAGCTATTTAAACAAGATTTTAGATATTAAGGAAATAATAAAATTATGCCACTAAGAGAACAAGAAAGTTATAGATTGTAAACTTTTTGATAAAATACATACTTGAAAAAAAAATATAATTACCTGGTTTCACCAAAAGATAGTCACCCAAAGCGCTGTTCACATTAAAGTCGGTAATATTGAGTTCAATTCCGACTCCTTCGCCATCGAATACCCAGTCTATAATATTGTTGGTTGGATATGGCTTGGGATAATTTGGAGAAGTGATTACTGTAGGTTCATCAACACTCAGCTTTATATGGATAGGTGCTACATTTTTATCAAAGCTATACGATTTCATATCAAAATCTTCACTGTGTAATATTGAGAATTGCGACATTAGTTGATCTAGCTCCGCACTTGATAAATTCTCTACGCTCATAGCTTTTACAGGCTCTTTATCTTCTATCTGACTTCGTTCTGATTTTCCTTGATCTTCTTTCTCTCCTGCGGATAGTGCATCATTAACATATGCAATTTGTGCATCATTTTCTTTGTTCTCATCGTCAGATATTTTTTGAATTGTTTCATTATTATCAGATTTAATTTCATCAGAATTGACGTCAGAGAATACTTTAGACAATTCGTCATCGTTAATAGATTCGTAATAGTCATCTCTCTGAGATAAAACTTTTCCTTCTCCAAATGGTCTGCCATATTTTTCTTCATAATCTAGAACGTGTTCGTTGTCTATAGCTGCATCTGAATTGTTTTCTTCAAAGTCATCATTGCTCAATTTATACCAAGTTTCTAATAAATTATCTAAATGATCATTAAGATCTTTATATACCTTTTCAGAATCATCGTCATTCTCATTAAACATTTCTTGGCTACCAATGACACTTTGTGCTTGATCAATATTCTGTTCATTAATATCAATATTTATATTAACATTATCTGCAGTTTCATCTAAAAGTCTATTTGTTTCATCTATAATACCGTTCACCTCAAATTGCATATCAATTTGAGGAATATTCAAATCAATAATATTTTTCACAGTTTCTTTATCTGAAATTACCTCTTCACTTATGGGTTCTTTCAAACTATTTTCAAATGGAACTTTATCCAATATCTCAGAATTATCTTCATTACTTTTAAGTTCTTCTACATTTTCTTTGTTATTCTTTAATTCATTACTTTCAAATTGATTGTTGGTTTCTTGAAGTACTTCACGAGTTTCGTCTACAATTTCATTTACATTTAGTTGAGAATTAATAATCTCCAGAAGCTTTTCTTCAGTATTTGAATTATTTTCATCGGACGCTTTAGAAATTTCTTCATTGTTATCTTCTTCTTGGTTTTGTTTAGAATTGGTATCGAGTTGTTTAGAAATTTCTGTTTTAATATCAGATTTATTATTTTCCAACTGATTATCAGGATCTTCAAAAGCTTTATGACTATCACTTACAATTTCATCTATATTTAGTTGAGAATTAACAATTTGTAAAAGTTTTTCTTCGTCAGATATTTGCGAAATTTTTTCATTATTATCGTCTTCTGGGATCGAAATATTTTCAGAATTATCATTATCTGTATCACGATTTTCGAATTGATCATCATTGTCCTCTAATAACTTTTGAGTTTCTTCTATAATTTTATCTATGTTTGGTTGCGAATTCATTATGGAAATATTTTGATCGCTAAAATCATCCTTAATATCTTCATCAGATATTTTTGAAATCTCTTCATTATTGTCATCTTCCGGAATTAAAATCTCATCAACATTGTCAAAGCCTTCTTCATTCGCTATTTTATCATTACCTTCGATCTGGTTGATATCAGATTCTTGCGATATTTGTTTGGTTTTGTCTACATTTTCATCTATATTTGATAGAGAATTACCATTATCAGATTTATTTTCGACATTAAAATTATTCATATCATCTTCATTAGATATTTTTGAAATTTCTTCATTGTTATCATCTTCCGGAATTGAGATTTCTTCAGAATTATTATTAGATTCATTAAGTGTTTCTTGTTGAGTTTTATTATCGTCAAGTAAAGGAGGTAACACTAAGGTTTCATCATTATTTTTATTTTCAAAAGATAATTCTTTTAAGTCCGTTAAACTCTGCTCGTCAACGTACAATATCTTTTCTTCAATATCATTACCAATGTTTTCTTTATCTCCAAGAATTTGTTGAAAAGCATCAAAATCTTGTTGTGCCTCATCAACATTTCCATCGTTTTCTAGTATACTTTTAAGGAAATCATCATCTTTACCTGCGTTTTGTGCCTCGTTCACTGATTCTTTAACTTCTAATCTGTTATCTTCGATTTGATAGTCGTCTTCATATTCGGGCTCTTTTATGGCTTCTTCGAAATTTGGCTGTACATCATTAATGTTTACATTTAAAAGGCCTTCACTTTCCTCGATGGCTTCCTTTGATGTATCTTGTGGAGAATCGGGAGCATTTTGATTAATATTATCTATATTTCTCAGCATATCATACATTTCATCATCCAAATTCAATGTATCATCGTAGTATTGGAAATTGTCGGGACGGTAATCAGCTGCAAAACAAAAGAAATATACTGTTTAGATTTCAAGAAAAAAATGTAAAGAAGAACACATATAACGAAAATGAAGCTAGTGGGAAAACAAATTGAAAATAATCTTATTTTAACTTTAATAATCGTGGGAAGGGATGAACTACTAGTAATATGGTGTAGAGACACCATTGCTAAGCAACATATTACGACAGATCGACCTTCTCATGGCCCTCCATATATGTTTATTATAAATACATAAACGTTTCCTTGTTTCAACTATTTGTGTATTTATAAAGACATATATATGTTTGTATATTGTTTTAAAGGGATTATCGGCTATCAAATATCAGATAAACTCAATATTTTTACTAAAGAAACAGAGTAATTATTTATATCGACTTTAATCAAGTCATGAATGTAAGAATACCCGACTAGTTTCAAATTGAAGAAGTAACCTTATTACTAAGCATATATAGTATAACTCACGATAGTTATTATTCGATACAGAAACATGGGTTTATTTTTTTTTTATACAACTTAGAATGGCAAATAAGCTGACGCCGCTGAAGCCCGCCTGATGGAAAGTGGTAACCGTCGCCAATAGACATGTACCATGTACATAACAGAGTATACTGTTTCGCCCATGATACCCCCCATGCGTTGCCATTCCTGAGGACTCAGGTGTTATTCCTCCGTACCCAGTAAATTCACGCACACAACTGCTTCATGGTAGAAACACGAATGGGACAGAGGTACCCAAGCAATTGATTTTTGTACAAAGTCTCTCTCTGGTTCTATATTATGGGTAGATTCATAGTTTTTATTTTACAATTTCGATTTCTCCTTATAGAATTAAGTATTTTCAACCGACTTCAAAAAAAGGAGGATTTAAAATTAGTTAATTTTTTTACGATTGCCACCTAATAACTCCATCAGTTTTAAATCGATTTGGAAAGTTATTTTTTTATTGAATAAGATAAAGAATTAAATATACCTTTTTAAATTTATTTGACCCCATAAAGATTAAAAAAAAATATCCCTTCACTTGTTCGATTTTTTGTTTATTTGTGAAACACAATGTTTAATTGTCAATTTAACTCTCTAAGGGCGGATTCGACCAAATGAGAATAAATTTTATTCTTAGATTAAAGTGCTAGTTATTCGGATTTATTTGTCAGGTATCATTTTCAGTCACCGTTCACATCACTAGCCACGAATAGTTATCCCAAGTATAGTTACACGTTAGATTGCATGGAAAAATTACTTTTGATTTATTCGAGATTAAGATCATGGAATAGAGTATCGGCGGTATAGTTATTCGTGTATAAATTAAAGTTTGGTCGAATCCGCCCTTAGTAACACAGTTTAAAATAATAATAATAATAATAAATAAATTCTTTAATAAAGGCAACCAGGGCCCACAAAATTTTACCACCAAATATAAACTATTAAATGATTTTACAATACTATTAACAGTTGAGGTACTTATATGTAGGTGTAATATATAAATATATATATTAAATTCATTTCACTGTTCATAAAACTAATACATTTCACAGAATCACAAAAAAAAATTTAATTAATTATTACGCTTTTAAATAATAAAATTGACGTTACTTTTTTTTGTACGTTAACCAGCATGTGAATCAATCTGCAATGTTTTAGTTCAGTTTATTTATTCGAAATAAATGATTAGACATCGTATAAAAAATAACTTAGTATTTATACCCTCATTAATAATAAATAAACAATGACAATACACATGTATATTTGTTATTTTCCTCAATCATGATTCAGTTTCAGACATTATGAGTAACCTCTTTTGATTTCTTCGTATTATGAAATATGTTTATACATGTAGATTTTAATACGCCGTGACTTCGTCTTTGTGATCTAATATACTAGTTGCACCCCGCTGTTTTACCCGCGTAAATCAGTGTACAAAGTATCCTATGTGCTCAGTTAAAATATAACCTATCCGTGTACCAAATATGTATATACCAGATATCTCTTTTCGAATATGTTAAAAGTTTGTTATTATTTTTTTTTTTTACAACTTAGAATGGCAAACAAGCTGACGGCCCACCTGATGAAAAGTGCTAACAGGATATTGGCAGAGCACCAGTGAAGAGTGATCGATGAGAATGAAAACAGGCCAGTTAGCCCATCATGATGAATTCATCAAGAATTAACCATGATAGTTTCCAGGGAGAACCGCGAGGATTTCGACCTGGCTGGGCATATTGCTAGCAATAGGATTCTCAGTCTCCATTACTAACAATCCCTTTCCCCCCACACAAAGCATGCTGTGGTTGCCTATAAATGTAAGAACAGTTAGATCTAATCTACTAGTGTATTGTATTGAAATGTATCGCTGTATCTTATGTTGGTAATCCTATAAATAAATATAGCAATACAACCGACTTGCGGCCAACTGAATTTAGCCCAAATCTCACGATCTATATACAAACAAACGAACCCCGTTTGTTTGTATATAAACGTTTATGTATGACACCATACAATTCGTATGATTTACACTTACAATTCATATGAATATGACACCATACAATCTTTGTATTGACACCGAAATTAAGGTCAAAAGTGATCTTTTAAATTCACCGGACGTGAATAATAGAGGCAAATTGCGAATACAGTGCACATTGTAACAAATATACCTAAGTAGGTATGTAACTTGCACATTTGAATAGATAAAATTATTCAAACGGACAGAAGCGTGTTTAATGTTTTATTTATAACGACTTTTGACAAAACAAGGCGCAATAATAATTGTAGTATTTCGACTCTTTATTCTTTTTTGTACACAAAATATAATGTTAACCACAATTCATTTGAAACGTAATGTGCAGAGGCGAGCTTATCTCTAAGAAGAGATTTGTTCCAGCAAAACCTTTTCAAGCAAATCTTATGTTATTTTAAAAATAAAAACTTGTTTGTTTTCTTGAAGAAGGAAAGTAAGAGATATATTATATTCAAGTAAATTTAGATTTAAGCATTTTCGAACACTCAGGTTGTGGAATGAGCCCCCTGCCGAGGTTTTCCCAAGAGACTACAGCATGATGTTCTTCTAAAGGGGGTAAAGAGGTTTCTTCAGGGTCGGCAACGCCCGCGTAATACCTCTGGTGTTGCAGGTGTTCATAGGCTACGGTAACCATTTACCATCAGGTGGGCCGTATGCTTGTTTGCCACCTCAGTGGTATAAAAAAAAAGAATAGTTTTTTTTTAGTACCGCCCATTGGGAACGCGATTTCAGCCAAGAAGAACAGACAAGAAAGTCAGCTGTTGCTTTTTTCGAATAGTTTAATTACATATATAAATAATAATACTTATTTAATGTCATTTAATAATTTAATTCTATTTTAATGTTTATCAAACACAAGGCGTGCTGTGGTCGCCTATAAATGTAAGAACAGTTAGATCTAATCTACCAGTGTATTGTACTAAAATGTTTAGCTGTATCTTATGTTGGTAATCCTATAAATAAATAAATAAGTTTGTGTGAATACAAAATGCTAAGCTGCTGTTTACTCTTTTACCTGATCCGATATTTAATGATCCGGCACTCTGGGTCATAAAATAAAAAAATATATATATAGTATAATTGAAACGAATCAATAAAATAAATCGGCTGTAGTGATCGGAGCAGAGTAGTCATTTAAATCAGTTTATTAAAACACTACTTGCTTTGACTTCCACGAGACAGGCTTTGTCTAGTGTGGGGTCATAGCCATATTGTACCATAGGCTAATTTTGTTAAAGGAAGTAAAGATATTCTTATTCTTAATTAATAACATTATAAAAAATACAAATACATCAAATACGTCGAACACTTGTTTAAAAAAAAAGTTTTTTTTTTGATGACAGCCCATTGTAACACGATAGGTAATACAAGTAGGCAAGCATTTTTGTATCAACAACTCTTGCACACTGTAAAAGGACTCCTCAACAAGCCTATGTTTCAGTGAATTTTTTTTCTAAATAAAGTTATATATATATATATATATATATATATATATATATATATATATATATATATATATATATATATATATATATAGCAATATTTAAGGTAGATCTCCACGCGGTTTATTATTGAATTCATCACGATAGACAACTGACCTGGGGGTCTACCATAAATGTAAGCTCAATTTCGTGTTTTAGATTTACCAAAATCACCCTATAAATGGAGTATTTCATTTGTCAAAATGTTAAAAGTCCAAAGGAACGATACTTTAGCATTTTTAATATTTTTAAACGGTACGTATCAAGTAATTTTAACATCGAATTTTTGTTTCGTTCGGATCCGAAATTTCGGAAAACATTTCATGGTAGGCCCTCTGCTTTCATCCTCACGTATCGCCTCTCACTGGTACCCCGCTAGTGTATACCGATAGCGCAAGCAGGATTACCATTCCATCTTCACCCATTTAAAAATATCAACATATACTTAATAAGGATTACAATAAATACCTAATATTGTGAATTATTATGTGAACAACAGTGCGTTGTTCCACCAATAGGTATAAATGTTTCGTGTGACGTAACAAGCAATAATAACCCAGTTATCAGCAGTTCACGTCTTGTAAACATCAAACATCGCAATGTCCACACACATAATAAACATTACAATCTGTTTCAATACAAACTGATTGGAAAGGTAACCGAGATTTCTTTAAAACTATCACAGAGACACTGTCTAAAGCAGTGACGGGCAAAGTACGGCCCGAGGGCCAACTCAGACTGTGGCTGTGTTTCGGTTTGAGGGGTGGGATATGGCGTGAATTTATTGGGTACAGAGGAATAACACCTGAGTCCTCAGGAATGGCAACACATGGGGGTATCATGGGCGAAACAGTATACTCTGTTATGTCCATGGTACTGTTCATGTCTATACGCGACGGTTACCACTTTCCATCAGGTGGGCTGTCAGCTTGTTTGCCATTCTAAGTTGTATAAAAAAAAAAAATAAAGACGGCCCACAATGAAATATATTCCAAAATTTC